TGGAATCCTCTCTCATCTAAAATGTATATTTAACACGGAATCACGTCGGCGTTAGTCACGTTGTGAAGTGTGTCATAGTAGCAGAAAATGTCCTTGTCTCAAGATGCTTTGGTTTCACTCAAAGTAGAGTTAGTCTCAACTTCAGCATAGGGGATCTTATTTCTAGTAGAGTAGTCCTTAGTATCAACAGTTAGTCTCAACATCAGCATAGGGGATCTTATTTCTAGTAGAGTAGTCCTTAGTATCAACAGTACGTCTCAACTTCAGCATAGGGGATCTTATTTCTAGTAGAGTAGTCCTTAGTATCAACAGTTAGTCTCAACATCAGCATAGGGGATCTTATTTCTAGTAGAGTAGTCCTTAGTATCAACAGTTAGTCTCAACATCAGCATAGGGGATCTTATTTCTAGTAGAGTAGGCCTAAGTATCAACAGTTAGTCTCAACTTCAGCATAGGGGATCTTATTTCTAGTAGAGTAGTCCTTAGTATCAACAGTTAGTCTCAACTTCAGCATAGGGGATCTTATTTCTAGTAGAGTAGTCCTTAGTATCAACAGTTAGTCTCAACATCAGCATAGGGGATCTTATTTCTAGTAGAGTAGAACTTAGTATCAACAGTTAGTCTCAACTTCAGCATAGGGGATCTTATTTCTAGTAGAGTAGAACTTAGTATCAACAGAGTTTGTCTTAGTCTCCGAAGAGGTGATTGTCTCAGTAGATTTGATGTATTCACAAGTCGAGATGCGCAGTTTGTCGCTCATTACCCGGTTTGTGTTTCATTGGAAGATGAACTGTGTTGAAGTGGTTGTGGCAGAAAACAAGACAATTAACTCTCTAAAATGCTCAGAATTTCATGCGACGGGGCTCCCGTATGTGGTTCAGTAAGGTACCAACCAACAACAATGATACTTCTACTTGTCTCTGATTGCTTACGAGACAATTATTCATCAACCAAACTAAACAAATAAATTATTTGTGTATGAGAACTTCTATTGTTTTAATATTTATATTTTCCAGTTGAACTACAGAATTTATTAGAAATTTTCTTGAAATATTAAGTCAGTTTATTTAATATAATACTGGCGACTTAGATACAGTAATTTAAAGTTTTATTTCGAGAACCTTAATTCATTGATGTAGGCACGTGTTTATACCGGTGGTTGAGAGAGAGAAAAAAAGGTAGGTCACCGTTGTGTAGAAATCCAGGCGTAGGAGTCTCTAACCGTTATAGAACTAACAAAGCACATAAAGGGATTACCGCTGTCAGAAAATGGAACGACTGTCGATTTAAATGCACAACCAACGGAGCTAAAATTAGATTCTTGTGCCGCTGTTTGATACACAAGAATCAGTGACCCGAGATCCGTGTCGTTGCCCTTTAGCACAGCCTACATCAGGGACTCGTCGCATTGTTTTCCTTTGATACTTGACAACTGATGACACCCTAAACTTTGGGTCACGATAGATGGGGTTCGGTGCAACCTCGTTTGAATAATCGAGGTGTGTGGTTTGATTCCTGCCATTACGCATCCTAATTTCACGAAAATCGCTGTTGCTGTCGGAGCTCAGTCCTCGAACAAAACACTTTTCCAAGGTCATGGAAAATAAGTATCAGTGGCCTAGCGTCGTCATTCTTTATCACAAAAATTCTCACATTTAAACATCACCAAAATATACTGAACCAGCATGGGTTTCACGTGTTGTTGGGTAATGATCAAGGTCACCGTTACTATTTTTAGAAAATCGTTAGCATTCTAACGGCTTCATTGCTTATAGGATTTAAATTAAACCTCACTTACTATATAGTTGTATTAGCGTAGACAAGCTCGCGATTCAGGTTTGTTGAGTCAAGGTCAATGTCACTGTTACTATTTTTAGAAAATCATAGTCAGAACTCTAGCGACTTTTTTCAGGGATTCTCGTCCAAGGTCACACACTTTACTTTAAACACGTAATAGCTTGCGGGGTTGGAGTGGGGTTGGTTGGGTGGGTTGGGGGGGGGGGGGGGAGGGATAGCGGACACGTTCATGTAACTTCACCAATACTCAGTATGCATGCTATTATAAGCAGTTTTATATATATATTACATATATGTACATTTCTTCTTACGTAAACTAGATTATACCTGCTAGCAAGAGTAGTTATGATCTTTCTACACAAATTTGAATAAGCCTGGTTCGGATAGAGACAGGCGCTGCTCTACCAAGACTTTAACACACTGAGTACAAACATTTAGGCCCCACATAACCCCAGTATGGGGTAAAACATTTGGTTTCTTGGATACAATACTTAAGCAACAAGGCCGTCATTACCTTCAATACGATCTCTACAGAGGTAATACAAATTATAGTACGTTCGGTAAGAGTATACTTGTTCCAGAGAACAAGATGGCCTCTGTTTAATTTAGTGTCACCTACTAACAATGAAAGGCGGTTACCTTGATATCTGATAAAACGAGATAGATTTAGAATTATTTATATTGTGTGAGAAATGTCTGCTGGGGATATATCCACTTGTCAAAATACAATGTATATTTTTGTACTTCTTTGACATGTCCCTGTGGATTCGATATTCAATGTCTTGTGATCTACACAAAGTTAGATTTTTCAATAATCGTTAGCACACCAAGCCGTTTTCTTGTTTTTAAACTTTGCCCTTATTTAGGAACGTGGAATTACATACATGGATTGACAAATATTTACGTGGCGGATATCGTCGATGAATTAGAAAACGGCTTAACCTTTAGGAACACCTGGTCTTAATCCTTGTTTTTTCCATGTTTTACTTAACAATCTTTCCGTCGTCATATTTTTCTCATTAATTACATCGACATAGACTTCATATTACGATTCTTTTAACAAACTGGTATTTTCTTGTTATCTAAAAAATTATGAAATATATGTAAATGCATTTTTAAAACATTAATAGCGCAGACTTGAACGGTAATTATAACAGGTATTCGCGCATAGCTAATTAAGAAACATTGTCATTTACATCTCAACCTGTGGTGTTACATACTTAGAAAATTCTCTTCTGTAGTCATTAATTAACATTAGGTATTTAAATTATTGTTCTGCATAATAAAATGTAAAAACTGTACATAAAACATCTTTTCTGAACGAGTCTACAATTTTTGCATTTAACCGAGTCTCTGTCGATATGAAAGAAAAACGGTGATGTGTTTCGAATATAAGATTCTGTTTATCACATAACGTAGATATACTTTATCCAGCATTTCTGAAAACAGCACTTAATTAGACACTGATATTAAATCAAAACTGACGATGAGTTCATCTAATATGTCTTTCTTTAGTGACGTCATAATACATGTAATCAGTGAAACTATGGCATCACATTGAAACAATTGAAACATTAATGACAAACAAACATGACATACATACAATGATATATCGTAGGCACAGATATCCTTGCTCCAGCACAGCTAGACTTGACTTACATCCTAGTTGGTTTCACTGATTCCTTCACAAAAAATATCCCTTTTATTAACTTTTATATGCAAATTCATAACTAAAACCTATTTTCCTCTTAAAACGCTTTATTTTAAATAATTGTAACCTCTCATCATCACATACCTTAGTTATACTATCCACATTTACAGTCCTTACCCGCAATCTTAAATCAATTATCCGTATATGCTGTGTCATTGTGGTAATTACATTTTACAGATATTTTCAGCATACATATACATCTAGGACTCATCTAATACGTATGAATACATTGCTATCTGAGCATCATACCAGATACGTTTAATAGTTTTTTCTTAATTTGTTAAATTCTGTGTCACCTATTACGTGAGCCCTTCGACAAAGGCATATATCGTCTATATTAAGAGCGTCGTTATGGAGACTTGGGTCAGTATACAAAGTATCCGGACTATTGAGGTGTCGGATTGAAATGATCGTATCACAAGCAAATCGATGTACACTTCCATTGGAATCCCAGCACGTTCGTTCGTCTTTTAGGCGACCGGGGTTCGATTCCCAGAGGTTTCGTGTAGTCACTTGTTCAACTTTGTAGGTATTCCTGGCACTCTTTTAGAGAAAACCCTATTTATTTGGCTTTAAAATTAAAATCTGTTTCACAATTGCTGCGAAATACAGTTTAAAAATTTAAGTGTGTGAAATTCTGCTTGATTGGTTCAGTAAACTAGACACACTTCATTGTGTCCTGGCCTCTATTCGTACGATTCTGACCTTTTAAGTCAATGACGTCATTTAAGAAAAATCTTTTGATACGTTTACTTAAGTGAAGCTTCATTTACATATGTAAACTCTACAGACTTATAGCTACAGAAAATATATTTTTTTCTAAACTCAGATTTCATCATTTCATATGTAGCATGGAGTTTTACGAGGGAAGTATCATGCAAAATTATATGATATGTTTATTTCTGTTTTATAGAGGATCCGTCACAGTTGACCGCACATATGTGTAATAAAGTCGACAGTTATGTACATAGACACATGTCAGGTAACACACATAGCGTTCTAGTTGGAAGTCTCTTACTTTATAGTGTATATATCCATACAGACTTTCGGAACCCCATGGACTAGATTCATGTACCATGTACATAAAATATAATCGGGTGTCGCAATACTCTTCATGGTTCAATGCCTGTTCTTAGTGCCTAAGTAAAGTGTAAACATGTGTACATATAGCGGCCATATTGGAACAAAATAGGAAATACGTGAGCCTTAAAACTCAAATTTCGTGTGACCAGAGTATGGTCAGTAACAATACGACTACACGTGGCGTGTATTGGACAGAACTGACCCTGCCCGAAGACAGGTGAACTATGGGACTAAGTACAGGTCCCAGGTGAAGCCTGACAGGTATTGACAATCGGCAGTGATTAGTATTGAGCAGACAATTAACAGAACGTAACTCTAATTCCGTGTGGTGGAAAATATGTGGAGTGGTAACGTGGTAAAGATGGATTATCATTCAACTACTTGTATTTTTGTGTAGCGTGGTATCAGCATGTCCACTCGTGGTAAGTATACAAAATGTACAGACCTAGCTTTACTGTTTGTTTACAAATATACAAAATGCCCTGTGTTTTCAGTCGATATACAATGTACACAGACGACTATTGTAGTACATATCTCGACACGGCATTGACCAACGGTGACCACGAATATAAAACATAATTATTTTTATTTTACCTACAAAATATTTGAAATATTATTAAAAACCTCTTCCTAATTAATAGTATTCAGTTAAATTTGGAAGACAAATATTCAGATGGAACTGTTGACACTTTGGGAAATAATTTGTTCTAATAAATTCAAGTTAGACGGCATTTACATGTCAGTCTAAAGCATACTTGATTTTTTCCCTGTGATTTAGCGGGCAAGTTTACAAGGTCACAAAATTGACAGCAAAGGTCATACAGGATCATACGATAAGGTTATACGGGGTCATATTGTTAACATAGTAAAGTCATAAAAGGTCAAAGGGTAAACACGATAAGGTCATAGAAGGTCATACAAGGTCACAGATTTAAAAGTGTTACACGGTAGTGTTAGCATCCGGTCAATACAACTGATACAACACGCCTCTCCTTAAAACTGAAACTTGAAAGTTTAAATCCTGATTTCTGCTTTTAACATCCGGGTAGTTGTAGTTTTTTTTCTGTCCCAAACATCAAACTTTTTGACGTTCTGATTGGGCATCTGCAGTGAGATTTAGCTGTCAAATTGTCTAATGTGATAAGGGGTGGTTGAAACTGGGGTATGTCTTTCTTTTAGACCCCCCCTCCCCCCCCCCCCCCACTCCACCATCCCCGCACCCCTGGGATGTCAACAGCCTGGTTTTACAGACAGCTTTAACAGCTTAATGAACACTTATTGTTTGAAGCAATGAAATATTTAAATTTCGTTAATACTGTAAAGTAGCGTTTTTCAATTATGACTTTTACTGAAATAAAATGTTTCTAGTTTGTGTATTTCCCTTTTGAAAAATGTATTTGTACACACGGTAAGTAAAATGTGTATATTAATACATGTTTCCATACAACATCCTTACCTGCAGATAAAAGTGCATGTAGTTGCATACATATTTATGCATATTCTATGCATGAATGACCTGACAAAAAGTGCATCAGGTGAAGATATTATCTAGGTTAACTTCAATATGGAAGTAACAGTGCCTTAAAGGGTGTAACAAGTAAATTTTGAGTAGTTTTCTTGACGTAAATGAAACGTACGCTTGCGAGCGTATTTCAGAATAATATTTCAATTTTCGAAGGGATTGGGTCAGATAAATATGAAAATCTACGATTGAGTGTACATGTATATGGCGAGCATATCGCCCTAGAGTAAATCTGTATGGTACATATGTGTGTATGTACCACGAGCGTAGTATGTACTGTTGTCACACAGATACCACCCCCGGGCTATCATAGTACAATGAATGTGATGGACGAACATAGGTTTCTGTGGTCTGGTATAACGGTCACCTTAAAAGCCGAATGGTCAGTCAACCGCTTTAAATAAATTTTCACTTTTATTTATCAAATTAGCTGTTACGCTCATCCCAAAAGGCAAGTGACCGGTCATCTGGGGGTGAGGGGCTGTTGGTGGTGGTGGGGTGGGGGTCCGGTTTAGTGTAGAGATGATCGGTGATATCCATATTTAGGTCACTTGAGACAAAGTCGCATGATGACCTATTGCGATCACCCTTTGTCCGGCGTCATGCGTCCGTAAACTTTTAACATTTTCGACTAGTTCTCAAAAAAACCCTGAACCGATTTCAATGAATTTTTGGCAGAAACCTGCCAATGCCAAAGGCAAACAAAAATAGTGAATAATACTGTTCCTACCCCTGGTCAAAGTGACTAAAAATTCTAAAACCTTCTTCTCAACATCCAAACATTATAGAGCTAAATGCTCTTCGTGGATGGAAGGGTCTTAAGGTGATTTACCAAAATTGTGAAATTTCATGGCCCCAGGGTCGTACATTTCAGCCTGGGGAGGGGGTGGGGGGTGGGTAAGCTTTACTATAGTTTGTATAGGAAAAGTACATTTTTTAGCAAAATTTTTAAAATTTCCATAAGAAATATTTCGAACTTGGTTAGAATTATAAGCATAGGATGACAATGTGCTGGTATACAAATTTTGATCCTGACTGACTTCCAGGGGCTGATGGGCGGGACCAAATGGGGTCAAATTGACTAAAATTTCAAAAATCTTCTTCTCCGAACTAAGACATGGTAGAATCAGATGACCATTGTGGTTGGAAGGGTCTTAAGGTGCTTTACCACAATAGTGAATTCCATGGCCCCAGGGTCCCGTGGGGAGGTGTCAAGTTTACTAGAGTTTATATAGGAAAACTGCAATTTGAGTAAAATGTTTTTTATTTTCCATTGGAAATAACTTGGTAAGAATTATCAATATTTAATGCCAGTTTTTGCGGTGTGTATATATTGACACTGAACCGAAAGGACTTAAAACATATCACAGACGTCATACTCTCATCAATGCCACAGATTCTTTCTCATACCACTTAAAGGCTACTTACCCTATAAGCTTTATATTCAATATTGCTTACTTGAGATAACATTCAAGACTGCTTAGTCTCTTTTTGTGTATTCAAATTCAATTAAGTTTTCAAAACTTGTCATAAACAACTAGCTAGGAATTCTAAGCGTTTCAACAGCAGAAAAATGACGAAACAGTCTCTAACATCTTTAAACCTTTGAAGTTGTGATCAGATGAACAATTCAAAATGTAAAGCTACATGAGATTTCAACGAAGGAAAAAAGTAGCAAAGAATCCAGAAACTCGCACAGATCTGAATAAGTATATCATTCTGTAGACAAGATTTCCGATATCCGATAACCCTATCTCTTCAAACATCGTCACATTACCTGCGTGCAAATTGGCTTGATACGGAATAATTTAGTTCATATGATACACCTTTAGTGAATATCTTTTGAAAATTATAGTGCAGACATCCTTTGTTTATATTGGATGACAAAATTCTTAAGGAGCTACAACTCACCGCTGTCTTACCTAGTCTTTTAATAAGAACCTAAACTGTAATTGATATTGTTTACACAGGAAGCATACTTCATGAATTCCATTCTAAGAAAGACGTATATGCACACACTACTATTCTGAACTTCCTTTCTCGGCTTAATATTCTACTTAAGTGTTACGATTGTTGTTCATATTTCCTCATCAGATCAGCGTCGTCTTTGATTTCATGGATTTAAACCTAACGTAGACGAACGTGTTATGTTTTGTACTATCTAGTTTTTAAATTTCTGAACCAGGTATAATCTTTGGTGACACGAGATCATTACTTAGAAATGGAAATCTTTATAGAAAACGACTCAAACATGGGTTAGATACAAAATCAATAAAATATAGTAGATGTATTGATTAGTTCCGAGGTGCTTCAACAGAAAACGTTTAAAATCGTTATTCATGATAAAAAAAAGACAAAACAGATGTGATATTACTTTCGGTCGAAGACAGCATGTCTGACTAGTATTTCTCATTTGTCTACTGTTGTAATTTATCTCCCCTTCGGCTGAACTCTCAAGAGAGCTCAAAGGTTCTCAGTAACTGGGAGCTCTTCCCTCTTCAAACTTAAAAACATGTTTTAATTGCTTATATTTACAATTATCACTGCTTCTAAATCAATATCTCTCCATAACTGCAATTTAGGACGTGACTCGGGTCATCGCGTATGAATATATGTAAATAATGACGAACTTCTTTCCGCATAATTCGTGTCTATGTTTACAAAAAAAGAAAAAAAAAAAAAAAACCCACTAGAATGTAGACTAAGATATGTATGTCATAAAGTACAGTTATGATACTGTTGTAATTTACAAGATATTGCGATTTTTGTCAGTAAAATGACTGAACTACAATAATGTTATTTTGTTGTCACGGAATAAGTAGGCGAAGTTTTGGCTGCTATTGTGCATGGAAGAATATGACGTCAGAATATACTTCGATGTAGATTATGCATAACATTTTGAATGCTGTTATAATTTTTTAAACTCAAAATGTATATGTTAATCTTTTATTATCCGGAAATCCCTCGCGATGAACGTTTTTTTTTTTACTTTTTTTTAGAAAACAAATCAATTATTCAATATTTAGTGGCGCTTATTTACAAATCAAATAAGATCATAAATAGTGTCATTCAGATTATGTTTCTTGACAGCACTCTAGCGACATAATTCCCTGTGGAATTAAATCAAATTTTATATAATTGACCTTCTTTTTTCTTGTGCTAATTGAATAATGAAAAGCGAGGCAATTTGTATCGTTTGTAATATTTTAATTTGTTTAGTTTATGAGGTCGTAAATCCAAGTTGATAAATTTTTGATAAACGCAATTTACCTCGTGCTTCGCTGGTTTTATTGCGTCATAAACTTAAGTAGATAAAAGGTAGATACTGAAATACAGTCATATGCACCTTACGTAAAGCATCGCTAACTAGGTACGTACATGTTTGGGAGAGCAATTTTTGAATGTTGATATCTTTTCATGTTGAACTAATTGGGTAAAAACTTACCTTATATATCTTTTGTATGTAGAAAAATACTTCTTTTTATGTTTTTGAAAGCTTGTAATTACATAATTACACGTCACACACACATTCTATTTTGTTTGTATACAATAGCCACTGTGTTTCTACGTGTGGGCGAGTTTGTACCACTATCGATGGCTGAAATTGTGTAAACTTAGATGTCTGCAGATTTGATAAAAAAATCTGTTCACATGTTTTGAGAAAAGGATAACTATACTAAAACCAGAAATTTAATTTAATCAATCAATCAATCAATCAATCAATCAATCAATCAATCAATCAATCAATCAATCAATCAATCAATCAATCAATCGATCGATCGATCGATCGATCAATCAATCGATCAATCAATCAATCAATCAATCATGACTTTTCAATAATCTTCCGCCTTTCGACTTCTTTTGATTTTCCTCCGTCGCTTTTAACATCTTAAAACATTAGACCCTTAACATCAATGATAAGTCCAAGAAGGACGAAACAACTGTGCTGCTGTTTGCCTTGTCTTATTCCCTTTGTACGAGTTCAGAAGCTTCTGCTATTATTTCTATAAATCATATCGTGTCCTAGTTTCATACCATAAAGTATTAAATGTTATTTGTAGGCCCAAGAAATACAAGAAATGAAATAAAACAAAGTAAAAAAAAAATTAAAACAAATAGTAATTAAATAAAGAAAGACCCCCCTCCCCCCTCCCCCCCCCCCCTCCCCAAAAAAATGAAGGGTATTAGAAAAGGTCACGATGAGACTTTGTCTCAGGTGACCTAAAAAACAACAAAATACAAACAAACATCAGAAATATCGAACTGTTTGATAAATACAAACACATGTTGAATACATTGTGATGATTACAGACACAGGTACACTACAAAACAGCACACCTGTATAACAATGTAGTGGAGAAACTATATCCGGGTAATTTGTGAGTCACAGTCACGAGTGTACGGTCAAACTGCACCCTGCATTGTTTAGGTCTTGTTGGATTCCGATTTCGACACTGATCAGAAATTCAATATGGCCGACTGGAACTAAAACTTCAACCTCATATATGTTGTATCTCTATTGTAATATTGTGAAAAAAGGATTCGATTTGATTGAAATCTATATAATACGTATCGTTATTAAAGTTCAAATCCTTTACTTTAAATGGTTTCAATATTATGTTGTCACTTACCTGCTTCCGTTTAGAATTTGCTCGGGTCCAAAAGTACAGTTAGCGGCCATCTTGAATTGTCTTGTCTTAATTACATGTAGTTCTGTCACCTGGAACCCTTAAGTTTTCATGACACTAAAATGTATATTACAGTATCGTTTCAATGACCGGCACAGATATGGAATACAAATGTCTACTGTAAGTCAGTATTTATCATCAAAAACTTTATGCGTCTCTTTGTCGTCTCGGAGACCGTTGGCATTGTAGTTCAAATTATTTCTTTACATGTTCTGTAAGAAAGAAAAACATGTTGAAATCGACAAATATAATCCTTTGTACTTTTAGACAACAAAGTAGTCGTTCTTAAACAATCTGATTCACGCATAAAAAGTCTGCATTTACATACAAATCATCATTTGGCTGCCGAATTTGGATGTCGGAAAGAATACCCCCACGCGACCGGATGTGTAGACACGCGTGCGCACTAAACGATTACGAACTATCCTTTCCTTCATTAAAATTGTATGATGGCAAAGTTGTTTTTCTTAATTTAACAAAAAAGAAATTTGAAATCGCATCCATATAAGAATTTCATTCCAGCTCAAACATGTCCACATATAATTAAATATTGTTTACCAGTTAATATTTTTTGTTTCGAATGACTGTCTACAAAACTCGACTCCTCGAAAATAGAAGAGACATGTAATTGAAAATAGTCGATAAGACATAGTTAGAAATTCAAATGTCATTTTTTTGCAAATATAACACTTTGAAATTAAATTTATGTTTACGTGGTCGGAGTGTTTTTATGCACTTTAATATTTGAGATTAAAGATATCGCTAATTTTGTTACATAAATTGATTTTCGGGAACAGATTTACATCTCAGGGAGAGATTTAGCACACAGATTATTTTCTCTACATTAGCTGCAGATCATATCTCTTCTGCATACACAACTCAATTAGAATTGGAATAATGAGAGTGTTTACAAAAAAAAAAAAAAAAAAAACTGTTTACAATGATCTTGCATAATAAATGCACACTTTGAAATACTATAGTGTATTTGGCATGAAGATCAAAAAACATTTATAAATGTTATCAGAACTTTCTGTGTCTAACTTTTTGTAAAATAATAAATAATGTAAAGGTTTAGAAAAATGACAGACAGACAGACACAAAACTTGTATTGTGTTAAACAAAAATACATAGACAAGTAGATAAGAAAAGGAAGAAAAAATGAATTCATAAAATCAGAAACCGAATCCGGACAGACATGCAGATGTATATGATAGAAACAGACACCGGACAGACATGAAGATGTATATGATAGAAACCGACTCCGGACAGACATGAAGATGTATATGATAGAAACAGACTCCGGACAGACATGAAGATATATATGATAGAAACAGACTCCGGACAGACATGAAGATATATATGATAGAAACAGACTCTGGACAGACATGAAGATGTATATGATAGAAACAGACTCTGGACAGACATGAAGATGTATATGATAGAAATAGACTCTGGACAGACATGGAGATGTATATGATAGAAACAGACTCTGGACAGACATGAAGATGTATATGATAGAAACAGATTCTGGACAGACATGAAGATATATATGATAGAAACAGACTCCGGACAGACATGAATATGTATATGATAGAAACAGACTCTGGACAGACATGAAGATGTATATGATAGAAACAGATTCTGGACAGACATGAAGATGTATATGATAGAAACAGACTCTGGACAGACATGAAGATGTATATGATAGAAACAGACTCTGGACAGACATGGAGATGTATGTGATAGAAACAGACTCTGGACAGACATGAAGATGTATGTGATAGAAACAGACTCTGGACAGACATGGAGATGTATATGATAGAAACAGACTCTGGACAGACATGAAGATGTATATGATAGAAACAGATTCTGGACAGACATGAAGATGTATATGATAGAAACAGACTCCGGACAGACATGAATATGTATATGATAGAAACAGACTCTGGACAGACATGAAGATGTATATGATAGAAACAGACTCTGGACAGACATGAAGATGTATATGATAGAAACAGACTCCGGACAGACATGGAGATGTATATGATAGAAACAGACTCCGGACAGACATGAAGATGTATGTGATAGAAACAGACTCCGGACAGACATGAAGATGTATGTGATAGAAACAGACTCCGGACAGACAGGGAGATGTATATGATAGAAGCAGACTCTGGACAGACATGAAGATGTATATGATAGAAACAGACTCCGGACAGACATGAAGATATATATGATAGAAACAGACTCTGGACAGACAAGAAGATGTATATGATAGAAACAGACTCTGGACAGACATGAAGATGTATATGATAGAAATAGACTCCGGACAGACATGAAGATGTATATGATAAAAACAGACTCCGGACAGACATGAAGATGTATAGGATCGCTAGCTCCACGCAGGGTATCATTGATGTGTTTATAGTAAACCAATTCTTTAGTAAGTGTGAGTTAGTGTGCAGCCATACGATATCGACCATACGTAAAGAACCCCGTAATGTTAGCTTCCAATTCCCGACACTAATACACTAAGTTGTAGTCTTTCTTGCTAAAACTAGATTTAAATATCTCCTGGTAGAAATTTAAAACCTAGATGACTGCATATCATCATGCCGTCAATTATAACCCGTAATATTGAAATCGACTGAATTGTAGGGGTAAACATTCTTGACATTGATTACGTCATATGGGGTCTCTTCTTTTATGAGGACAAACCTGTTCACCTGAGATGGACCTGCATTTCTCCTTAAGGCATTTGAATATGTCGTTTTTTTATCGATTGGATCAGTTGGACTGGGATGGTTTTTATTGTCTTATTTTACTTTCTGACGCGCCATGACTAAGCCTTTCGAGGTGTTTATCGATATTTGCATGCAATGCTACAATTACCAGGTCGCCGAACTGTTTTTTCCGCATCAACGAACAAGCATCGTGTTCCAAGGTCTTTTCCGAGCAAACCGTTTGGACTGCGATAGACACATTTCCTAGTCTCGCCGCCGAGGTAGAGTCGGGTAGGCGGGTGTAGTTATTTTAAGGATGCATGTGCCGTATTAAATATGTAGAAATAATGATACCCAACGATGAGAGTATTCTTGTGTGACGTCATAAAACCAGGCTCTAAAACTGATGACGTTGTCTGACGAATTACTGCACGACACCATATGTTGCATCTGGACTTTTTTTTTTATCTTTTCTTCATCATTTGTACATCTGTTTACCTACATATTGCGGTCTCGATTAAAATTTCACAAAGATAAAAGAAAAAAATGCGTTTATTGGATCCTCAGTGTTGAATGTTAATTGTCTTTATGACGACCTGTTTGGAATGAGCAGAAACTGATTATAATTTTTTCACGTGTTTCCAATATCAATAATCTGTCTTAACCGGTCAGATTGGCAATCACCCCAAATGGCTTCAAATAAACTCAAATATCATAAATTATATCTCTTCATTCGAAAAATGTATTTCATGAAGAAAATATATGAAACAGAAAATGTGGTTAAGAATTAAAACAATTCCTCACGTGCTCATGTTGTATGTTTGTTGATTATGCAAATACATAATATTCTGAAATATATCAGCACCACATGAATGATCAATGTGTTTAAGATATTTTCCATTTTTTTTGAACAGTTGTCGTCCTTGGCATTGCCATACTGTTGGTATGCGGACGGCGAAAGGCAGGTGGCGCGTCTGGCAGTGGCGGAAGTGACATGCCGAGATTGACAGTTACAGACCCGAATGTCCGCGAATACAGGCCAAGTAATGGAACCAACGTCACAATCACGTGCACTGGTGTGAACTTCGTCAAGGATTATAGGGTAGGTACTAACATACGGAAACTCTGCTCTTAAACGGTAGTTACTAAAATGCGGAATATGAAAATTTTACGTGTCAGAAAAATACGAGCATTTTACGGGGAAAATTCTTAAACAAGGAAAAGTGATTATTCTGATCAATTTTTAAATTTTGTGAAGCAAAGTATTCCAGGGAAAGTCTGGAATGTAACTATGTTGCATAATTTGTTGAAAATAATACTCTATTTTTATTAAATATATTTCCAAGTGACGAAGACAAGTGGTTTTGCTTGATCAGCCTATGTTGGTAACATACAGATATGGTTTCGTGTTTTCATTGGTTCTTAAACACGTCTTTTCATTGGTCTAGTGTTTTTTCTATCCCTTAAGGTTGATTGGTCGGTTAAAACACGCATCGGACCGAAACCTATCACTAGTGCCGCAGAGAAAACACCCGACGATCCGACCAAGTATCATGTGGCCAGTTCCTCCTCCAGTGACGGGGACACGTTCACGCTGACCATAATGTCCGTCAGACAGAAGGACAGCGGACAGTATATTTGTTCTACCTACTATGAAGGCGGTATAATCGAGGGCGCGCTCAAAGTCGTGGTCGAGGGTAAGAACCTCTTCAAACTTGCACGATTCTTAAAAAAATCACCAAAATTAAGTAAATTTGGGGAAAAAAACATAGTTCATTTTTTCCTTTCTGTTTTCTTTCTTTGTTTTTCTTTTTTTTTTATCTCATCTGCATTTAGAGACTAGCATTTTTATCAATCGATTCTGGAACATTTATTTGGCTAGTCAGTCACTCGATCGAATAAGTTTAATGATAAGAAAGTGCTTCGCATTGCAATATCTTTTGTTAAGAGAACAGATCTATGTCTTCACATCATCACATCATCTGTGTTGATAAAACGAGGCGAAACTTATTACAGATATTCCCGTGCTACATGTCTTCGCTCGCAATATATCGGCTCCTATCGGAGGTTGGGCGGGACTTTCCTGTGAAGTTTTCGCCGAACCGAAAATCCAGGAAATCGTCTGGGAACGGAACAACGATATCATCAGCAATGGCACGGATGAAAGGTCAGTCTTAACGTCCGGTTTATAAGGTTCTTGAAATCCGGTTTAGAAAAACTAGAAAGTTCTAAGAAAAAGCCATCTTATGCCAAACATTATTAGAGTTCGAAATAACGACAGACAGTAAGAATGATATTGTTTAAAAATATTACCATATTCTAGAGTCATAGTGTTATTTATATTTGACAAAATGAATAAATACGTGTGTTGACTTTTATGTAAAGCACTACTGAAAAAAGTCTTGTGGAGAGTAAAAGAAAGTTTTGGAAATCTAGTTCACTTTTGTTAAACTGTTTACTTTTATGTTTTTTTTTCGTTTCAGATATTTCATCTTTAATCGCGGAACAGAAATGATTTTGACCAAGTTAATGATTTTGAATGTATCACATGACGATGAGGGCAGCTACACGTGTGTTGCTAGGAACGACAAAGGGTTATCAAGTCATCAGATCTGGCTGTACAGTAAGTTATCAGAAAACAAAGTATTTCACGTTGTGCACCAATAAGATTTACATGATCAACTTATGTCTTGGTTCATTTTTTAATTAAAATTATTTTTCTATGAACTTTTCAATGTTATTGACGATTTTTTAACATTGTTGACTGATACTCAGTTCAATTCAATATCACGTCTAATTATCTAGATCTCAAATGATCGAGAGAGACAGAGACACAGAAATAGACCCAGAGAGAGAAACACACACAGAGAGAGAGAGAGAGAGAGAGAGAGAGAGAGAGAGAGAGAGAGAGAGAGAGAGAGAGAGAGAGAGAGAGAGAGAGAGAGAGACAGCTAGACAGACTGACTGACAGACAGAGACAGACACAAAGATAGACGCAGAGAAAAACAGAGACAGAGACAAAGAGAAAGAGAGAGAGACACAGAGCGAGAGAAAGACACACAGAGAGAAATGGAAAGAGACAGAGACAGAGACAGAGAGACAGAGACAGAGACAGAGACAGAGAATCAATACCTAGATACAAACACAATACAAATTTTGCATTAGATGAAGTATAACCAGGTAATATATAACAGCTGTTTAGTCCCTCTAGGACTCATCGGTAAAGCTACGGACTTTAAGTTAAGTATCCGAATCCAGAAGACAGACTCAATAATCAAACACTATTGTATCTATTACAGCATTTGTCTCAAATCAAAGTGGAACACCGGAAATGGGGTTTCTACCTCTGAAGAGTGCTAAGATAGTTGAACCGAGTCGGTACCATGCCAGTGTAGCAGTACAAGGTACTCTCCGGGTCACGTGTCTTGTAACCGGGTTTCCACATCAACCAAAAAAGGTAAACATATAGATAGTTTCAAGCAGACTTTATTGTTTCATATGGGTAAACAAAGTGCGTGTTCATTATGATGTCATCATGTGTGCTTCATAGAAAAAAAAGTTTTTTTTCGGTAGGGGATACTATAGAAATCATACATTTTCGTGAAGTTAAAAATTCGTGGCATTTCTAGAAATAATATTTCGTGACAAATTCATTAATACAACTTTACCAGATCCTACATTTTTTCATTCACAAACACCTGCATGTGCATTCTGCATTCGCACACTAAATACATGTACACCAATGTACACCAATTGCAACCACCCCCATAAAAATAATAATATGAATATGAACAGCAATATTAACAACTCAGCACCATTATTTTATTGTGTTTTTTTTTCAACGCACCAATTTTACATGATTTTCCAGATGCTCTGGCGCATTAGAAGTTTCGGAGATGGCCGTAAACTGCAACTCTCGGGTTCAGAAGAGCGTCGCTATGATGGCGTCACCATCACCACCTACGTCATGGAAAACGCTACAGGGTTTTATTATAATCTCATGTACTACCCTGTCATGTACAATAACACCGGAAGTTACACGTGTGAAATCCTTCACCGCGACGGCGTCAGCAAGGACACTATCAACATCACTGTATCAGGTACGGAAAGTGAAAGTAGACTATCGAACTCACCAACAACAATACGACTGATGGTGGTTGGATTCTGTTGATGTTGGTTAGTCCCTCTTAATACCAAAAGTCATGTATGAAGTCTGTAGTAATTACCTGTATGATCATATCTTTATAGTGACAAGGCTGTGGACAGGTAGGGCGTAAGAATTGTAAGAGGCGGCTAAATAGGGATCTTCTTTTCTTCTAGATAAACTCTAAGGATATAAGGACCGTAATAACGCGGTAGATTTTTTGTCTAACAACCTCCGAAATGATCCGATGTTAGTGGGTCGGCGCGACTTCCCCTGGCGGTTTAGGGCCCTTCCTGTTAACACTCTCTGAACTGTCTTGGCCGTGGTCTTCGGCAAGACACTTCTCCGCTTTAAATGGCATGCGAAAGGTCTCCAACATGTTGCCTTTTGAGTAGCCAATGGATACTGCAAGGCTGTTAGCGGGCAACCTGTCTGTTAGTGGCTGTTCAAGAGGCGATAAACTTCGCAAGCAAACAACTAGAGACTCGTTTGTCTATGGATCGGAAGCTCACCGTTATCAATGCCACGATTTTAAGAGGGGGGTGGGGAGGGGGGACGGGGGGGAAGGAGGGGGGAATCTTGTAAACAGTACTTCCGGCCGAATTTCAACACTTTGCAGTGTTAGTGATATGAGAATATGATTTGGCAATGTTGATCACCCTTTGTGGCTGACCAATACCTTTTCGTTTTATTATTGTTTATATGTAAGGACCCTGACCTCCATGGCTGGCAATTCACTCCGTAACCCTTCATTTGGCAATAATTATCTTGTGGTCACAGTGTTGAGCGTCTGTCGGAGTAAGTAAGTAATGACCCCTGTCCACTCTCTCGGTTAAACGGTGCCAAGTTGAAGGAGATTTCGTAATATTGCTTTAAAACACATCAATTTCTATATAAATATATCATCAGGTTTGACGATTAACCTAACGCAAAGTTGTACCAGTGGATTTTTTAACGTGCTAGTTAATCGTGGTTTTCATCAAAGGTATAGACAGACGTGTTATTTTGGTTTTAAGAGGGATTACGTAGGCCACGTGCATGCCACGAAACTCTCAATGGCAGTGTTATCTGCTGCTACTGACAGGATATTTCAATGTGTCATTCTACTGGCAAAAAAGGAATGTCTACATGTGCCCTTCGTGGTGGTGATATATTTGAACGACAAAATGTTGCTGTATCTTGTTCTGGGGTCGACGGGGCTAGCTCTATTAGTTACATGGTGGTGTATAATTTATAATAGAGAATAATTGTGGTCCGGTATTCATTCACGTTGTATACGTCCATTACGTAACATATCCTATCGTTTACTGTTTATAAATAACAAATGTAAATAGGCTTTTAAAATTCAAGTCAATGAATGTATCCCATAGAGATGAAAACCGCCATTGTCAGAATATACCTCTCGCATATATTTTTGTTGGAATTTGCAGCGACGGAAAAAGCTGCATTTTAGTCAATGCATTTTAGGTTAAAGTTATATTCTGAATTACTTGTTAAAGTGACACCCAAAAAGAAAGCTGATACTATTCAATCTTCTGACTTTGTCTCCATTTCTAATGCTTTGACCGCTCTCTTGTGGTAGGTGCTCCTATCGTTGTGGCTTCACAGTTGTCGACCTTTGGACTACTTGGTCACAAGGAGGTGCTGAGCTGCTCGATATGTGCTAATCCCGCCCCAACATTAGTGTTGTGGTATTTCGAGGACGCGTTGATTTCGGCATCATCAAGGTATGTGTTGTACGTGACGTGTGTATTACGTTACTGTGTTGTGTGATACGTCACTTTGTATGGTGCTACGTCATTATATTGAGAAATATGCATCTGTGCACTTCTTTCACCCGATAGACTACGCTAGTTTAAAATGCTCTCAATTCAAAGCATGACGTAGAGAGAAGGAACTAATACATGAAGTTCATCCTTTTTAACTATGTGGGACGCCAGTCCCTTGTGGGAAATAAATATGTCACTTTGAGTTAAAAACTATCGTTCGTAACACGTCATTATAACTAAAACCTCACCACGCTGTGTAATAACTTTTATCATCGTGGTGCCCACAGTGCGCAGAAATAGGTAACATCAGGTATGTTAAGACCAGATAAGAAATGTTCTGTAATATATGACAGTAAAGTTCTCTGCCTTTACAAAACTGTAGATAAATGCTCTTTATTTCAGGATTGAGCAGAGTTTGACCACAGTGAATTCCGTAGAACAGAATGCGACCCTAACAATCAAATCGATCACTGAGGATGATTTTGGCACCTACACTTGTAAGGCATACAACAGCGTCACGCATGGAATGGCAGTGCAGGTCATTCAAGGTCAGTTAAGTTTATATAAGGTCAGTAGAGGTCATACAAGGCCAGTCGAAGTCATACAAACTCGTTAGATGTTTTACAAGGTCAAATTAACTACAATGTTTTATAATGTCAGTAGAGCTGTTACAAGGTCACTTTGGGTCACATCAGGTCGTACAAGGTCATACAATATCAACACATTCTAAATATTGTTTAGATAAACCAGCGTAGACCTTTATCGCAGGGGAAAATGTCACATGACCCGTTCCAAACAATTTATTGGTCATCATATTTACATTAAACTTTATTTGACTTCCAAAAAACTTCCAGATTTTTTAGTAGATAACCTCCTCCATTCTTCATCACTTAATTTCTTGTCGGTTCAAATCCTATTTTTTGTTTTCTTTTGTTATTATTGTTGTTTTGTTGGTTTTTCATTTTTTTGCTTTGAAGTACTGATTACAGCTGTGATAAAAATCATTTTCGTCCACCAAAATAATTCCTGTTTCACGTTTGAGCTCAGAAACACTTTGTTACTTTACTTTCAGATGTTGACGAGTGTAGTTTTGACCATCAGTGTCACCACGACTGTATAAATGGACTAGGCACGTACACATGCACATGTGCAAGTGGTTACAAACTGATGTCTGACGAAAAAACATGTGAAGGTAAGACCACGCACTGTCACGTGACACCTACGTTGAGTTTAGTGTTGATGGACACCTATTACGTAATTCTAAATATTGACCGTCCTGCACTTAGTTATGTAATCACGTGTTAACGTCACGTGTGACGTACAGCACAGTGCATTTGTAACAAAGCTGGCGTAAACACACGTACTTGTTGGTATTAGCCATGTTTATTACATGTTGAATATTAATAATGTTACATGTACAAAAGGAACATCTCATCAACATAAAGAGTTTATACACTAGTAATTCACATTGTGTCTCGTATCAGAACTGTCCCTGTATAAAAACAGTACTTCTAAGGTTTACACTAAAATACCCACTCCTCATACTGTTCATCATGGTGTAACCTGTCTGTTCATAGGGCTAGTGAGCTCCCCCGCCTGTCCATAGTGCTAGTGAGCTCCCCCCGCCTGTCCATAGGGCTAGTGAGCTCCCCCCGCCTGTCCATAGGGCTAGTGAGCTCTCTCCCCCACCCCAAAACTCACCTCCTTTTTATCCATATTCTATCGGATTTTGTCATGGAAATGCGACGATCTAATGCCCAATTGATTGAGTTTCATATCAGGGTGGACTTCTGTTTATTAGATTGCCTAATACATGTTAACCGGAAAATCTCATGTTTCAGAGAGTTTTAATCTTTGGCGCGATGGGCATTCCCAATAGGCAGTTCGAAAGATAGTTAAAGTTATCAATAAAATATACTAATAGGATTAGTAGATATCAGTGCTGTTTACCGTAAATACAGTTTTCACATCCAGTCCTCTAGATATTACATATTGATAAAATTAATCCTACAACCAGTCAGCCAAATATTACTGACTTATGTATCTGAGATACACTAATATCGAAACCACATTTGGTAACAATATATCTAAATCCTATTTTGTTACACATTTCTTGGTTTAAAAAACAAATGGACAACTGTTTTTTTTTTAAAGTTATGAAAACTAATTTTTTAAATTATATCGAAATGCAATGAAGAGAGCAGAGATGTAAAATATTTTCTTCCGAGATATGTAATCAACAATTCATATTGTTGATTTTTCTTGGGAGTTAATTTTTGTTGAATCTACATGTCCGAGAAATAATACCAGCACTGGTGAATTTCATCAAAAAGATTTATCCACCAAAATGAAATTTCAACCAAAAAATATATATATCTGTATACAATAATGAAATTTGAGTCATACAGTATCACGAAGGGCTTAGAATAATTATGTAAAAGGTGCCTATTTAATGTATTAGAGTTTCACGGTTTAACCAAATGATTGAAGTAAAGATGAAATGTACTTTGTGTTCTCAACGTCCGTAAAATCAGGTAATTTACTGGGCCTCAATATTCGTTTAAAAAAATATGTAGCGAACCAAAATGAAACTCCCACGAAAATCAATGATTTTACCGTAATTTTTCAATTTATTTTTTGCGATAATATTCCATCTTCGAAAATTGTGAAAATCAGAAGCACACGAAAATTACAATTTTTACGGTACATGGATTGTGAATAAGGTACAGAGTAGAGGGTTGGGAGGTGTTGAAAATATGGATATACGAATATTGAGTAAAAGTGAAGACATTGAAAGAATATTGCTGCAATGTGAAATGTAAGTTTGGAAAAAAACAGACAAGCTTATCACCATTGATAAATATGTTTATCTCAAAACATTTGTTTATCTGAACAGATGTGAACGAGTGCCAGCTGACTGAGAAGGTGGCATGTGAACAGCTCTGTACTAACTACAACGGAACGTTTATGTGTTCTTGTCGCGAGGGCTGGACGTTAGACGACAATGGTAAAACATGTAAGTATATTTCAAAGTCAAGCAAGGCACTGACTAAACAACTAAACGTTTGTGTTTTTGTCGCGGGGGCTGGACTTTAGACGACAATTGTAAAACATGTAAGTATATTTCAAAGTCAAGCAAGGCACTGACTAAACAACGAAACGTTTGTGTTTTTGTCGCGAGGGCTGGACTTTAGACGACAATGGTAAAACACGTAAGTTATTTCAAAGTCAAACAAGGCACTGACTAAACAACGGAACGTTTGTGTGTTCTTGTCGCGAGGGCAGATTCTTGGACCTCGAGAAACAAAAAATGACGTACATCTCGAAGACTGGCAATGTACTCAATATAACGAATGTTTTTGTGTTCTTTTCACGAAGGCTGTGACGACAGTGGTATAACTCTGTGCTCACCATATCGCAAGAGCTTTCTTGTCCAAGAAAGAGGTTATCTTATATTGAAGCGTACGTCACAAATAATACCCTCAAATCAAAGAAAAATATACTAGGGACAAAAATCATAAAAAGTGATCAAATTCCTGGTTAACAATATCTCAATCGAGTTTTTCTACCTATGGGAACAACCTGTGCCCATCTCTTGGCGAGCATGTTTTTGTTTTCAGACGAGAGTGAACTTATCGAAATAAAGATGTAAATTACACCAAAGACACTTTTACATTACCTCAATCTTTTCCTACAACGAAACCAAGAAACACAGCCTTTCACCAAGCTGTATAATACACTTGATGTTCTCAATTTGCTTATTGTGAATTTTCCATTCCTGGATAACAACATTTGTGCATCCCCAACCTATGACGTATATATATATATATATATATATATATATATATATATATATCACGATTTTCATTTGCGATGTCGGCAGCTGACAAACTCACGATCGTGATCTTATCTCTTCTATGTGGTTCTGTTATTGTTGACCTTGCTTTCATTTAGCAACTTGACATTACTTACTGTGACCAACATTTACATGGTGGTATCGTAGTGGAAGCAAAAGACGCTTACACTTTTGGAATGTTGGTCTTACTATCCTTGTACTTTTGTAAGAGTGCCTGTATAAATCTTTCGTTTGTTCATACTTTGCTGTAATTTCATCGAATTTGTGTCTAAATTATGATACCCTTAAAATGTCGGGGTTTTTGTATTCTTGTGAGGACTCGGATAAAGTAAAACATTTAAGTATATCTCAAAATCTAGCAATATAATATTTACAACAGGACGTTTATGTACCTCTTGCGACGAAGATAGAACATGTAAAATCTCGATTACTAACGACAATGTTTGTGTATTCTCGCCACCAGGGCAGCGTATAAAACCACAACACATATATCCTAAATATAGAAGTGATGCAAGGGGCAAAGGTTGCCATGAAATTTATTAAGGAAATTTCAGTCTTCATTGGGTGTATAGGATAAAAAGATAAAAAGATTCTCAAAATTAATCTTACCGGATAAATCATTTGATATCATATATTTCAATCTTTTAAACATCATCTTAAAATAAATTCGATTTCGAGCAGCGCTACGATGTGCATAAGAAATTCTATTACTAATGAAATATTTTATTGTATTAAGACATTATTAAGAGGGGTACGGAAAGAGAATGTCTTGTTATATTTTATCTGATATTGAGACAGCTTGTATTGATTGTTATACCAACTATCACCTGTACACCTGTTAAAGAGTCATCCTCTCACCACTCTCAAGATCATTTCATTACGAAGAACTTAATACTATGAAACAATACTGAGCCAATTCTAGATCAACAAATACACAAACACATTCAAGAATATTTAAAGACCAGAAGGTGTTTTGTTCTTTTCAAACAAAGTATATAAAATCATCCAAACACGAAAACAAACTGTTTGTTTAACCAAACAAAATATAAAAGATTGTTTAAAAGGGAAAATAATCGGTTACGGCCAAGCTCGGGACTTAGACTCAAATAGCAGTGTCTAACCCCTGCATTCTACAAAAAAAAAGTGAATAGTTTTTTTAAGAGTTTAGCTTAAATCAAGCTGCGTCATACATGGGTTTTGTTCTTTTAGGATTCATCAGTGATGCTAAGAGTCTAAACCATCTCATTTTTTCTGTTCAAACAAAACTAACAAAGACTTTCAAACACTTACGAAAAAATGCATTGTGTCCATTACAACAAAAATATGAAAAACGTTGAAAAATGAAAATCTATTTTTGAGCTCAAACAAATTATACATGAACTTCCCCAACATGTAAGACGTCCCTTTTGTTCAATTGGACGAAATATATGCTATGGCTGAAAAAAAAACAACTTTAAATACCATTTTGTTTGTTCATCTGAACCTATCTATACAAATATGTTTCTGAAACAAACACAAATAATTTAGTTAATTCATATTAACACACAATTGTTAACAATGTCAGCAAAAATATCATCGTATATGTTTATCTGAAACGAAACATGCGAGAAAGTTGGTAAGCATACACCATTATAATCTTTGTGTTCATCTCAAACAAAAAAAGTACTTAAACTTTTAAAGAGCCAATATAAATTCAGTTATTTTCACGTTTAATGGCATCCATGATGATGTCTACTTACAAATTAGAAACACGAAGTACTTTTAAGATAACACTACAAAATAAATGTATGTGACTCTCAATCATTTATTCAACCGTGAAAAACGTGAATGAAAAACAACAGAGAGTAACAAAACCGCCTGGATCCATCTTTCCACTGGTACGTTAGTGACATTGATATTCATAAATAAAGACATATAAATTCATCACGACAGGAATGATAACAAAAATCACGTGATTAACCGGAAATGACGTTAATATTTGTTATTTCAAAGTGTCTAGTATGTGGTGTACATATCAGTGTTGTCATTTTTATTGTAAAATGTAAACACATGTAGCAAGAATTCATCAACTGCCTGTAGATTTACCATGACGACATATTTCACTACTCCAGGTACCAATATGAACGACAACTCTGACGAGAATAGCGACGAAGAAGACATACAAGCGGAGGAGATTTATTCTATTATCGGAGTCACATCCGGCGCTTTACTCGTCATCATTCTCCTCATACTCTGTGTCGTGTGGTGTCGCCGGAAGAAAGACGAGGTAGGGACTAAATAAAATATTCATCTGTGGTGCAAAATGTTGAATGGCAGGTTGACTATCTAATTTATTTAATAAGCGTAAAGCAGGCGGCTACATCTTTAACTTTTAAAAGCTTGGAAGACTTGAACGATTTGGGTTCAGTTTTTAAAAACTGACTTGAACGATTTGTGTTCAGGTTTTAAAACTGACTTGAACGATTTGTGTTGAGTTTTTTTAAAAACTGACCTGAACGATTTTTGTTTATTTATTGAAAACTGACCAGGACGTTCTGTGTTCAATTTTTAAAAACTGACTTGAACGAGTTGTGTTCAGTTTAAAAAAAAACTGACCTGAACGATTTTGTTCAATTTTTAAAAACTGATTTGAACGAGTTGTGTTCAGTTTAAAAAAAAAACTGACCTGAATGATTTTGTTCAATTTTTAAAAACTTACTTGAACGATTTGTGTTCAGTTCTTAAGACAACCAGAGTGTGTTCTCTGTATAAACCAATTCGAAAAGGAATTAAATCAGAACACCTTATGAACTAGGACGTCATTGTTGTTATATTGGGATGATAATAAGGGTGTGTTTCCCGAACGAATACTCCTGTAGTGCTGAAAATGAGACCTAACATGGTAATATCGGTAGACACCTTCATCACAATGTAGGTCACCTAACAATTTTATGTTTAACATCACCATCACAAATATACCTGCAGTGAACAACGTATGTGTAACTATGGAAACCTACTCGGATTAAAATGGCGCCTAAAGCGTTAATACCTGTTCGTGACAGGTCTGACGTATTTGTGTGATAATTAAGTACAACATACCACAAATGGTGATATCTCCGATTGTATTGACATGATTTAGATGTTTACTGATTACGTGTGTCTTTCTTCAGGAGGAGATGCCCATGAAAGCCGTATTTTCAGTTAATTCAGGTTATAGTGGCTCAAATTCCGAAATAAACATGGTGAGTAGCTTCCGCATGAAAAAGAAACACTTCAATTCACATGAATACATATTCTTAAATTATATTCTCAATTCAATTCTGTTAACGTTATTCGTTTTCTTGCCATGTTAACTTACTATATACCATTACAGTACTTACTGTACTATATAACATTACGTTATTTATTGTGGTATATTAGCTAAATGACATAACTGTGATTTACTGTTCTGAACAACGATTTAATTATTGTCTGTTGTGTGTAATATGTGACAAAAATGTTATGTTTTTCAGGCAAAGTATCATTCTACTAACACTAAAGATACCAAAACAACGCCTGCCGACGAATTCCCGCGTCAAAGACTCCAGCTTGGCATCGATCTGGGACAAGGTCGTTTTGGAAAAGTCATGATGGCACGAGCGTTAAATGTTTCTGGCTTGGGAAAATGGGAAATGGTTGCCGTAAAAACTTGTAGAGGTAACGAAAAGCTTCACATTGATTTAATGTATCGTATAGATATCACATGACAGGTCATAATTACCAAAACATGCATTTGGTTTCTCCATTGAGAAAAGAGCAATCTCGATTTCGATTACGGCAACTGTAAATAACTAATTTACTTATCCTTATAACGGTAATGGTGAAAGACGATCACGTGACAATGTGATACAAATTGTACAGCAATAATACTGTAACTTTGAATTTTATAATAATTTGAATTATCAATGAAAAATAATAGTGCCAGCAGTCAAGATATTGTTGTGAAATCTAGGTGTATTTTTTGTATATCTCTATGTAAATTGATGTCTAATTGCAATTATGGCACGTCTTAATTATCTTCTGAAACAGACAGCGCATCTGATTTAGAAAAAGAGGACCTGTTCCAAGAGTTGGAAATCATGAGAAGTATTGACAAACATCCCAACATTGTCAGTTACCTCGGGTGTTGTACAAAACAAGGTACCGAAACTTATCATAATAGAGTGGTAACCTGTATTTCTGCACTAAATATCTTTCACATAAAACTGTAGGATAATTATATTTTACTTGTATTTAGAAATAGGCTTTTCAATATGTGTGAAGTACCATGAAGGGTAAAAAAAAAGTTTTTTTTTAAATATTTGGAATAATCATCTTCTCATAATACCATACATTAGACACGGGTTACTTTCTTTAATAGTCAGCAAATGCATGCCTATTTTCCGGTTAGGCTTACTTTTGAATTCAGTTTGTTACGCGGGAATCTCTAAGTTAAGATATTAAAGCACATGGAGTTAACTTCGATAAATCAATCGTGGTATCCAATCAGATTTATTTGCATAGAATAGCATGTCTTGTAATTAGAGCAAATTTCTATGATACGTGCATACTTATGCTTTGAAAAGTATTGCCGAAATAACCTTTAAACATTTGTCAGCTTTGTGTCTCTCGCTGTACATAGTCTTCCCATACTCATATAGTCATGGTCCTGTTTGTACTCAGATCCCCTGTACATACTTATGGAGTATGTCCCTGGCGGCAACCTTCAGTCTCAGCTCCGGAAGTGCCGTCCCAGCCAGCTGGCTACAACAAGCGAGGAAGGTAGTACGCCTTCAGTGAAGGAGCTTGAGACGCATGCGCACCATGTTGCTAAGGGAATGGTATACCTATCATCGATTGGGGTAAGTGAAAAGTCACGTGATCACTAATACCTTTATCAGGTGAGATACTTGTGTAGGTGACAGTGTAATCATCAAAATGTCCAATGTATAATTTTAACAGGTCTTGATGTAAGAAAATCTATTCTATACTGTTTTATAACCTAACAAAATGCTTCACAATGTTTTTATTTATGTTCAAATTGGATTCAATCCAATATATTCTTATGAATTTTGAGCTTCAAGAAATACCAACGCGTCTCTTTGATAACACTAGAATAAGGAAGATTCCATTTACGTATGCTTAAGCTTTCGACAGGGACAGATGCACAGATACATCAGATACGTACACGCCCATTTTAAGATATACAATCAATTTCATTTGTCAATCATCAACAGGTAACACAACATCCACATGGACCCACATCCCTTAAACCAGTGAAAGTGCAATGATCCCTTTAACGAAACCAATTGGACAAACCCTAAGTGTTTAATATTTCATCATGTGTGATGACGCACTTAATCTGATTACATCTACATAACACTACTGATTATCCCACCTCTGTATAATCATACATGTTACAAAATTTTGCTGTTATTTTGCCTCTTGAGCTGTATAATTTCTGCCCACTGTAGCATAATGTGACAACGCTAAAATGAAGTGTTCACCTTTTCAGATCATACATCGAGATCTAGCGGCGAGAAATATCTTAGTCGGTCGAAACAAAATTGCAAAAATCTGTGATTTTGGTTTGGCGAGGGACGTGGAAGGATCTGATATGTATGAGCGGACCTCAAAGGTATACTTTTTATTGAAACATCTGTATTATTATCTTTTTCCGTTATCATTGTCCATGAACATATAGGATAAAACGACCTCTGTATATAGGAAAAACTAGCGCCTCTACCACAAACTGATTTACATAACTGATTGTAAATTTGGTCTAAATACTAAGTAGGAATCTCGCATCAGTGAACCGAATACAAACTTGTTGACAAATTGTCCGGAATCTACACCGTAGTTAAGAAGTACCATAGTATACCTGTTTGTCCATTTGCACCGACAATGCAGTAGATCTTTCTGTTTATAATTCATATTGTCTATGAATGATGCGGATGAATATCCTCCATGAGGACACTAGCTGTATTCTATTTGTTTAATTTTGAGAAATAAAATTACTTGAACCTTAACATTTAACTAAAGTTATTAAAGCAATGACCAAAGAAATATTTGCCTTTAATACAGACATTTTGGACAGTATATGTTGTCGATTGAAGTAGACTACCTAGTCATATTTTTCATATCTTCAATCATAGGGTCCGTCACCTATACGATGGATGGCGCCAGAGTCACTGTCAGACCAATGTTTTACCCGGAAAAGCGACGTGTGGTCGTTCGGAGTCCTCTTGTGGGAGATCGTTACCCTAGGTAAGTCACCAAATAATCACAGTTCATGCCTTGTATAGTTAAAACATTTAATTTGAATTTTCTTATTGTAACTTTAAGTCAGGTTTTGGCAAAAGTCGACCATGCATACCGTATCATTTTTTGTAATTCTACGTAGAATAAAATAATATGAAGATAAAAGTGTTATGAGAACAGACTATATTTAACAACATAATACATTGCTTTATGATTGAATGTTAAGTAGTTTGGATTTTTTAGGAGCAATAAAAGTTCATTCAGTGCAATTAGATCCATGTAAAACTTAGCATTGATCGTATGATATGCACATCCACTTGGCGTTATTTTTAGATCACAAAACATTAGAAAAATATGAAATGAATGATATGATTGAGCCAGTGAACATTTCCCTCTGTGTCTTAATTTGGCCGAGTATGATTTTTATAACACATCACACAGCTGTTTCGCCCTACTAAGACTCGTCAGCGATGCTACATCACACAGCTGTTTCGCCCTACTAAGACTCGTCAGCGATGCTACATCATACAGTTGTTTCGCCATACTAAGACTCGTCAATGATGTTACATCACACAGCTATTTCGTCCTACTAAGACTCGTCAATGATTTCAAGGGCCTATAGTTTAAAAACTAGGAGGCTATGGAAGAATTCTTTTAAAATGAAAGCGAAATCTTGACATGGGGTTTACTAGCCTAATAATTAAATACTTTATTGTAATGTTCATGAATCGTATATCTTCAAAATTACGCCAATAACATAGGTATACTCCGAATATTGTCACTTTCCTAATCATGTACTATTCTCGTGGATGTTTTTAGTACAATACAGTTATTCGGATATTGAAATTTGTTTGTAGGTGCCACCCCCTACCCTGGTATGACAGCAAGGGAGGTCATTAAGACGGTTCTCATTGGGAAGTGGTTACAGTGCCCCCTTCACTGTAAACAAGAACTGTAAGTAAAATAACTTGCTAATAACACATTTTAAAAAGAAAAGGAATTATTGAAAAATTTAAGTACTTTTAAGATTCGAAAATATTTAAGATATACAACCACGTAATAAAAAAAGACTTAAAAGATATTTACAATATAATCTAAGAGAAATATTCATGAATCATTCCTATCCTAATACGGGTTTTTAAACTAGTTGACTATGCAACATTAGTCATGTGTCACATCGCCATGCAGGTAGGGCTGAAAATTAAGATCTACTGTCCTACATTCACAAGAGGCGATTGGATATGAGATCTGATCTTTACATTCTGCGCAATTATTTTCTTCTGATGTCACCATTTAAATTGTCTCATCAGGGTTGAATGTTGGCCCTTGGTCCTGTCCCCTGGCCAGGGTATACAAAAACTCTCTGTTTACTCTAAGAATGTTTGTAATGTAACGATTGAAGATCGGTAATAAGTATAATGTGACAGGGTGTGGTGATCCGCTGGTCTTCAGTGGCATACGTCGGAGTGATAACACTAGAAATCGGCATTAAATTCGCGCTATCAAAAGGGGCTTACACCAACATATCACTTCCATTTCTATATCATTTCCATTTTGTCTCAAACAAAATGCTTGGATATATTACACTGATATTATTGTTTATTTCAAAGGTCAGTCTGGAGGCTTTCATTAAAGGTCTAAACGCTGTATGTAATTAAATGTAGTAATGTTTATATTAAAGATAACTAAAAAAGGTTGTACAGGCGTTGAATTTATATTCCAGCTATGACCTGAAAACTAGATGTTATATCGTGGTCATGTTTATAAGTAGGGTTAAAATGTGATGATAAGCTACAACAACAATATATCTTATGTTTAAGTGATAAGATGCTAGAATATTGTATTCTCGGGTTAATATTTTTGTTTAAGACTAAATCTGATGATAAGATACAAGAATATTGTGTACTCGGGTTAATATTTTTGTTTAAGACTAAATCTGATGATAAGATGTTAGAATATTTCATTCTCGGTTTAATATTTTTAAAAGACTAAATCTGATGATAAGATGTTAGAATATTTCATTCTCGGGTTAATATGTTTAAAAGACTAAATCTGATGATAAGATGCTACAATATTGTATTCTCGGATTAATGTTTATGGTACAGACTAAACCTAATGATAAGATGCTAGAATATTATATTCTCTGGTTAATATATTTGTTTAAGACTAAATCTGATGATAAGATGCTATAATATTGTATACTCGGGTTGATATTTATGTTAAAGGCTTAACCTACCGAGTTTTGTTTGTGTATATGAAACCTCAACCCGATATTGGGCTATTTCAATAACTGTGTTATGTTGATATCACCTGATAACATGTGAATAAATGAACTTATGTAGAAAAGTAAAGGCTTCTGAAAGTAATATACTTGAGTATATCTGTGTTTAAGGTATAGTCTTATGACAAGATGCTGGGATATGGAACCCAAAGAGAGGCCTAGTTTCAGTGAGATCGCCAAAGAGTTGGAAGTTCTTATCGAGTGTGAGACAGAATATATTTCGTTCGACACTCTGGAAGAATCAAAATACGGTTGTCTAGATCCAGACAAGGTGGACGAACGCGTGTAAACAATTCCGTAAACAAACAATTTGGATAGTGTGTACCACGGGTGACAACCAATACTGCGGAACAATTGCAGAGTCTTGTGCATTGGGTTTAAATGTGTACCCTGAGTGAGACTTTTGATGCGCGTGACTGACCATTTCAGCTGAATGACAAAATGCATATGATTGATGTGAAGTGAACATTGTGAAAAACAACATTACCTTTTATGTAAATGTTACTTAATTATTTTTCTAACGGCACTTCATGAGATTCGCGAGGAAGGATTTTGTGAGGATTTTCGGCGAACCTTTAACTGTGATATTTGAGTGGCATGGTACAGACTGTACAGAATCACATGTCAGTTAATTAATATATAAAGTGTTTTTTTTTCTCTCGCGAAAAAATCACCAAAGAAATAACACGACTGTTACCGTTTGCATAACGAGAAGTCTCACTCACCCAGCCGCTTTATAACTTTAGCGTAATGTATGCAGAAATCAAGGGTTTGACTGAGTGAGACGAGCAGGAATTGACAAACCACAACGAGACACAAATACATCGCAGCTTTTGAGTGAAAAGGGACATTAACTCTGCTAAATTGATAAGTATTATGCAGCATACATAACATATACTTTGATATAAGACATGCATTTGATGTGGTTGAATTTGATATCACTACATATGCGATTTTTGAATTCTTATATTTGTGCTGTTAAATAACTGTCTAGTAAGTTGATATCTATAACTAGACGTGTATGGGTGTTCGAAGTGTGATTTATTGATCGACAGCGATCGATTATCAATACCACAATTGCGTGATAGGTTTTAATAATGTAATGGTTAATGTGCGATGTATTTTATGAGCCAGCTTATGGATCTTCATTGGCCAAATATCGAATCCCTTTCAAACTTACTTCCTGATAACAACAAATAGTGCATGTTATACAGCGTCCTTACTATAGGATAATTTTATATAGAGTATTAAATTTTTAACGTCTCGGATTAGCTTATGAATCAATAACGTATTACGTAGAAAATTTTGAAAAAAAAAAACCCAAAACAGTTAAATAACCAACTTTTTGTTTTTTTTTGTAATTAGACAATAGATATACCGTTGTCTACAATTTTTTCAACAACTAAATGATTAAATGACAAACTGGAAACACACTCGACTGTCACCCATGCGACCTGAGTTCGATTCTTCAGTCGGACGTGGGAATATGGTGGGCCATCTACCCGACTATGTCGAATATCTCCGGTACTCATGTTTCCTGGGCAAATTAGACACATCTCACTCTCTTATACAAGAGTGATCGATAGAGCCTCCTAGCTCGTTCTGAAAAAAAGCTTAGAATTTGTTCAACGTATATACTATTTTTAGACCCGTGAACGTAGGATACAGAAACCCTTTACACGCAATTGTCAGACCTCTCAGAACTGACCCTTATTAAGGAAGATTTACAGTAGTTTAGACGTAGCGGCAAGATACAAACAGGAGGTAACATGGAATTGGACAGGTATGTAAGAACAATTTATGTAGAAACATACATTGTTTACAAACAATTACATTCCAGTTAATCTTTCATTTCTGTGAGGATTTTTAACGATAAGCACGTGTTGTTAGTTTTCCTTTATTTGTCTTACCGTAACCTGATTAGTTGTAGGGATTTTGGTTTCGTTGATTCAGTAAATATTTAAAATTTCGTGTTGCAAATAATCATTTTTTTTCAGTATTAGTAGATTTCGTGCATATTCATCCAAAAAGGAGAAAAACCCTGGAATTTTCAGCCATATGCTAATAACGGTTGTACAGTACAGTGCAGTGCTTATCGGTTTAACTGGTCTGCATTAAGAGCTGATTCGGAGCCGATGAAACAGGCGTCGTTCAGTTTGCTTGCCTCTACCCCATTGATGCAAGTGGAATACTGCCAAGCTTATGTTTCTTTCATATATTGACGTCATTACCATGACAACGGAGACGACGGTACAGCGTAGTCTGCTGTTGGCATTGCCGTACTTGTCATAAACATATCCATATATTTCACCATAAAAAAATAAGAACAATAATTTACTCTCGTGAAAAGATATGATTTTACAGAGGACAGAACGTGCTGAAAAGTTATCAGTTTCTGTTTTGGTGTTATTGACTTTAAAGTAACAAATGCCTATGAAGACTTCATAGGTCTGAGAGCATTTGTTAATTTGTTTCAAATCAACATGTTTCGATTGGTGTTTTATGTAAACTGTGTAAAATATGTGAAAATTTTTTTTTTAACAATGGTTGTACATTCATTATCCTACATTGGTCTGAGAGAATTTCTTATTTTTTTTATTCAAATCAATATGTGAATCATTGTGTACAGGGTTTTACATTGCATAGTCCTCTAAACCACCTTACAAGATTGGATTGATATAGATGAATGCAAGTTTCAATTCAGTTTTGTTCATTGTCATTTTTGTATAAAAACACAAATAGCACCTTTATGAGTGACGTATTTTCGATTATATACATTTAACAAGCTGTACTCCAAAATAAGGATGTTATGAAATAAACTTTATCGTGTTAACTTCCACAGGGTATGTCTTTTAAACTGCAGGGTAACATGTGTTTATATTGAATTCGCAGGGCTATATATAGAATCCGTTTGAAGGATGAAATCGTTTACATGTAGAACTATTGTAAATCAAACGAGACTACATATCGATGATCAATTTATAACATTTAATTCATCAGTGTGTTAAAGGCGCTTGAAATATTACTTGCTTTGATTTAAAAGAGTTAAAAGGTTTCAAAATGTCAATTTTATTTATATTTTATTCGCTACTCGGAGTTAACCAAATCCATTGCTTGGGTGATAATTGTGTGTAATTATTAGGTAGACATTGTTAAAAAATCGCTCTGATTAACAGATAGAATATTCCTATTGAAATGAAGCATTTTGATGTGCCTGTCAACTACAGTTATTGACGGACTTTTACTGCAAGCATGAATAAATGCAATATTTTGTACGTGTTTAAATTAAATAAATGTCCTGTGTTTGATATGAAAATATAGATATTGACAGAATAATTTCTCTATTAGATGCGTAAAAGAGCGCATGACTGAAGAAAAGTAAGGGACATAACTCCATATATAATACAGTTTAGGTAATTGCTGCGTCCTCAACCATTTACTCCTTGTCAATATAATTTCAGGTTCTTAAATTACAGCTTTGTCTGCTAATGTTTGAAAAACGATCCACGTAACGCTAGTGTTTAACATGAATTTGAATTTGATCCTAATTCACTTTATAATTGTGGTATATTACGATAAATGGCTCCCAAGTATTCTAGAATATCATTTATTCTCGAATATTGTATTTCCGATTCAAAATACCGAATTATATAAATCGTTTTATAGCTGTCTTAACATTACCAAGTACCGTTTCTCATAAATATATTGGTTTCAATGTCACGTACTTTATAATACATGAGAAACCAAGGGCCTTGGTAATGAAACTATACATATGTTATGATTTGAAATCCAATCATTATTTTTAATCAATTGTTTTAAAAGGAAAATGTGGTATTACCTTTTAAAGGAGAAAGAGACATCCGCTCACAACGCACCTCACATTTTATTTTTATCAATTTATATAAAATATACATATATAAATATCCATGTTGGTATATGTTACGCAAATCTTTGATGATATGTAATAGACATGGGTGATCATTTGATGAGAGCAATAGAAATACATCGTGTGTTAGAGTACTAGTGAAAGAATAAAATATAACAATGACTTGGAATAAAGATTCTAACTGGAGAATATTTCCTGTGTTTATTGTTTTTTTCCTTAATTTTTTTCCTGTGGAAAATTATAAATGTACCCGAGTCGGAATTTTGGAAACAAAATGCATATCTACGTTGTCAATTCTATAATGTCTTAAGCGCCTGGAAGTATTTTTTTTTATTTATCAACTCACAACACATAGCGTGGAGAGAGGAAAGTTTGATAGGCATCACAATGACCTTAGAATGAACAAGACAGCTGCATGGTGCCGTTTGATTCAATATTTGGCAGTGCTGTATCTAATTATAGAGATTGATGAATGGTGGTGCTTACTTTTAAGTGTGTTACACGGTTCTACTGGAACACTGATCTGTGGTCCGTAGTGTGCCTGATGAGTCCATTGTTGTTAACGTGTTTTTATTTCGGAACTCACTGTCGTGATCCTGCGCTGGAAGGGTTTTTCAAGATGCCAAACGTATCCAACAGATCGGCATGTTGACGAGGTTTACACGCAGATTGCACTACATTTGAAGTCTATCATCATCCAGATAGATACGTACAACAATATTAGCACTATTTGCGAATCAGATATAATATGTGTCATGATCATAGTGAGTATATAAATTATGGATATTACCGTTTGAAAGCAGAGCTTACCTTCCGGTTTTACGTTGGTCCGCCATCTTGAAAAGTCCTACCCATCGCACGGTCACGATAGTGAAACTGTTGTTGTGATATCCTCCTGGAACTCCTGGTCTGCTTGTACTTTTTTCATGGGTCTCGGTGTAAACCTTTTGTGCACGTGATCTGTATTGGACATGAATGCTATTGAGGTTGTAATGATATATCGGTATAATTCTTTGCTGTTTCTAAATAAAAAACCGATGTTCAAAGCATCAATGCCATCAGGTCACAGCAGCAACAAACGACCCGTCTTAATCTAACACGGACTATAGAAATCAATATGTTGACGTCTAAGTTTTGTTTCCAGTGAATTTTTTTTTTTTTAGAAAAAAAGACTCGGCTGTAGCCGGCTAAAGAGATTTAATGTTTTTTTTTTCTGTTTATTTGTCACGTGATCTCTGTTTCCTGTTTTAACCTATCTATATTCTAGTTCAACTTGTTTACCTTGTACCCTGTACCAGTATTTTGTCTTGCTGCTAGGACAGATCGATGAAAAAGGAAAATATTGATAGACATCAATCAATAAATCAATAAAAATTAATTTTGAAGAAATACTCCAGAGTAAAATATACCGTCGTTATATTATGGAGAAAACCATACCGTATGTGTAAGAGAGGAAGGTCGATGTCTGTTAGGCCTAACATTTCATCTTTCAAAGTTATTGTACAGTTTGATGTTATCTCGAACTTCCTGCTCTCTATTAATACAGAACTATATTACAACCTCACTAAACCTGTATGATTTTCTATTCATGTGAGTTTAAGAATTTTATTCATTTAACCGATCTTTTCACTGACAGCATGTATTTGTACAATATATATATTGAGTAATATTGTGTTAATCACCATCACTGAAGATCCGATATCAAATTTGGATCAACATTTGTTAAATTTGATAAAAAAAAACTTTAAGAAATAAATTCCCTTTACTAACATATGATTTAAACATCCACAATAATATTAAGTTTTTACATAACGTTTCTTGAATGATGTGGGGAAAATAATGATGAAATAACCTTATTACGTCATTGCCAGTGAAATGTAGAGAATATGTCACTGATAAAAGTATTATTTTCACTAATGAAAACAACACTTTTTTGTCATTTTTCGTTGATGAAAAATAACACATAACGTATTTACACCAATGAAAAGAGAGAGCACAAATAATTTTATGAAATTGACAAATCATAAAGCCCGATACAAAAATAAAAACACAAAACTAGAAACTTGAAGTGTTGTTTACTAGTAACACGATATTCAATTCCATAGTAAACTTTCATTTCTATGAAAGTCGGCATACAATGTGACAGAAATGAACTTTTCAGTCACCAAACCCAATCCCCAACCAAATGTCTTGAATGTGGAGCTAACATGTTAGACATTTAAAGGGAATTCTTGTCATCAACAGCGACAACTGTATGTTGTCGCCATATTTTTAGTCGTGTAGTAACTTGTTAAAGGTTAAACTCGGAACGCTTTAGAGCAAAATGTTTTCTGTTAGTGACATGAATAAGCAACACTTGCTTTGTGAATACCAAAATATTTTTTGTGTAAATATATTTTTGATGATTTTTTGTTTTATAGAATGGCGTATATTTTGTCGCGTACTGCGAAGACACAATGAGTGAGTAGTGTCCGCGAAAAGCCTAGTCAGCTTTGTCCTTTTATAACTGTTCTTTATGTCAGTAATTCGGCTATTTTGCTTGTGAAAATGTGATAAAAATATAATATCTAATAGTGTATCCAGTAATAACAAATATATTTCACAGGTGTGTCAAATATTTTAGAATCTTTCACAAGTGCGCAGCACGAAATGCTATTGAATATTCTTAATATAAAACCAAACTGCATGGTGCATACTTTATTTCAAAGCCCTATAAATTTGTTCAACACATACTAAGGTATTTTAAACAAGAATTACGTCAGTATTTAACATGTAATAGTTATGTTATTGACAACTAGAAGTCTAGTCACGAGGATAGTTTTGCCTTTGTGTAACAATAATACCTGCAGAGATATTATCTAGTAATCTGCCTTACAAACATATTTCGACTTTGTTTCTCAACAAGGAAGTTGTCTCCTAAATGCAATATTACATAGGTTGGTCATGTATACAGACTATTTCATGTACACAATCATTTGAGATTTGGATAATACTGGCATATAGCGGTGAACACAGCGCTTCATGTTTGTATTACAAATTCTAGACAAGGCGACAGACATCTCAATTTGTGGGTACCAGTAGGCACTGAAGGCAGTTGCCATCCTTGCACCAGTAGATAGATGGATAACAAACTACTCCAGCACAAAACTTTCATCATTCAACATTTTGGATAGTAAGGTATGTGTATAATTTTAATAAAATTAAAATATCGTCAGTTTATATAATAGATTATAGCGAGAAGAGAATTAGAAAACAAATCATATATTTTCTTCAGTAGATAAGCAAATTTAAGTTTGTATCAACATTGTCAATATTTAAGAATGTATTGTTGTGCTTTAACTTTCCTGCAGAAACTTCAGCTAGTGGTAATTTACCTTTAGTCGAGCGATAGTGTCCAGTTAGAGACCGAGGGTCACTAGTTTTTTTTTATCCCGCCAGAGGGCAGGGTGTTTTTCATTACTCCTTCCTGTAACAGATTTGGTAACGTTGACCACTCCAAGGGTAGAAGCTATAGGAGATTGAGATGCCTACTTGGAGATATTGAATCTGGGTTGTTGTTGTCTTTGGGGTCGAAGACTTTGTGAAGGAGGGAGTAGAGTAGAAGTTGAGAGTACAGGTCGTCTTACTAGCCTCACCTAGTGGGACTTTCTATTCAGTCGAGCGGTAGAATGGGTTACTAGTTCGAACCCCAGCGGTAGCAGGGTGTGTTTCATTACTCCTTCACATTCCAACGATTTGTTTAAAAAAATGTTATGTCCCCGTGTTTCGATATATAATCATTTAATTTTGTTTTCTGAAATTGAAATAACTTTATTGGTAAGGTTACTTTCCCTTATGTTTTTTACCTTAATTTCGACCACTCTTCTCCTCTGTAGCCTAGTAGGTTGAAATCAATCACAAGACCACAATCATCACTAACGAAACTTAGAAGGACGAAACAGCTGTATGATGTAAATTTACTATTTGGCTCTATTGTAGCTAATATCAAATTTTCATTGAAGGCTGCTATTACTTGAAGTGTTTTGTGCAATAAACTAGATACTTAAGCAATATTCTGATGACTTCTAATATATTTTTTAAATTTCACTCTGTTTAACAAGCTTCATAACGACTGATAAAGACAAACTTCAATTTTGATTTTGTAAAGTTAATCCTATTATGCTACAACAGGCTACATAATTCATATTTTGTCTTTGTCGTTTTGATAAAGAATAACTCCTTATTATATGTTCTTTCCTTCTACATATTTTAAAATATTTTAAATCACTCAATGGAATTATAAGATAAAACCTAAATCAAATTATTCAACATAATTTTAAATACACAGAAATATCTGTTATAAATCTTAATCATTATTAATATTTTTAATCCTGCAATATAATTCTAAATAATTAAATAAAATGAAAATAATAATTTACGTAATTGAATATGATAATAATGTGAATTCTACATTGGTCAAATTATTCAACATAATTCTACAAATCAAATCTATACATACGTCCTCTATATACACCATTGCTCCTAATTGAAATCCTTCATCATATGTGTCAAAGAGACTTCCATCATTCTGTTTAACTATAGACCACTTGATAATTCGGCGACCTTTGAAACTAAGCGTTAATGTCACGTTCTCAAAAATACAACCGTGGTTGTAACGAAGGAACCGTCAGGCAAACAAACTAACGATAAACATATCAAACTTTATAACGGCTATAAAGAACAAGATAAAGTCCGAAAAATTATCACAAGATTGTTTCTTTTTTATTCTGATGAGGTTTATGGTAAAAATTCAATTTTATTAGGAAAGCAGCGTTCCAGTAATCTTACCTTGTCAAGATATCAGAATACCCGGGGAAAGTCACATAGTCGTTTAGGTGACTCCATAAGTTTTTCGTGTCTGATCTGTGAATTGGACAGTGATCGCCTAGTTGGAAGGCGAATTTATCACCATAGCAACACTCGATCATCCAATTGTTTTCTGATTTCATATATCCAGGTTGACAGAGTACGGGTTTTGTATGGGTTTAGAAATTAAGTCTTATTGAAGCCGATTCCGCATTACAGCAGATTCATTAGGGACACAGAAATAGAAAGAAAAAAAAATAAATAAAACATAACACATTAATTCCTGATAAATGGTACTATGTCCCATGTTTCAATTTGGATTACGTTGACATATATTCAAGGGTTTCAATAAATCCACCTGCATGGCGAATTACACAAAATATCCCTGTGAACTAGACAACCCTACTATCGAGTAGTATTTTAATGGATTTTTCAGTGCAACGAGTGCATTAATATATAAAGGTGATCATTTTAGATACATTAGCACTTAGGTAGGAGCGAGGGAGAATTATGACAACAAACGGATTATCTGAAATTGATATATATTGGTTAAGAATGTAATTGTCAAATTGTATGCTAACTCTAGTTTCATTTCTTCAAATACCCGGAAATGCTTTATGACAATTATTTGGAAAACATAATTAATCAATAATTCTGTGGAATAATTATATTTTTACAGGGTGTTAGTTTTGATAAATCATAATTATTTGAACAATATGAAATGCGATAATGGAATCGTGTAATACCTTCAGATATAAAATAATTAATTCGTCCATTTGTTGTCCGACACGGATTGAGAATCGTCATATGTGGGTAGTGGTGATTTTGACTGTTCGAGTACCTGTTTAATATCTTCAGACACCAATCTGATTGAACGTCGTGATACTGTCAGTTCTTAATAATTCTATGAAGTTTTTTTTATTTTCAATTCATTCAAACCGTTTTCACTTTCAGAAACAGATTGAGAATCACTACACGATCCAACATGCCTCCCGCTATGGTGACTTGTCTCTTTTTGATATCACTGTCTGCAATTCCTATTGTTGGATCTGTCGACGATATCACAATACTAGAGCAGTATATCAGCGTGTGTGGTATGGTGCTTTGCAATTCGTCGATGTTTGAGATTCAACCAGACTTGGATTATTCTCCTCAGTCTTACTGTCCGGAGTGTAAATGTGACACAAACTGCTGGTTACGAAGAGACTGTTGTCCGGATTTGTATTTATCGTTCCCAGCCTTCAGCGAGGTTAAAACAAACGTCTTTCCGACCATGAATGAGTCTACAACAGATTCGCACTTCAAGATGATTGCCACATGTCCGAATGAAAATCATGATTGTGAGGTAGGGCCAGCTTTAGCTGACGTACTTAATAACGTCCCTGTGTTTGCTGGACCGTATCATCTTCCGTTTCGCAGTGCCTGCTATGCCACTTGTCACGGATATGACGTCACAACGAGTTGGTATCTAGATACAAGCTGCACCTCATTTTACGACTTAAATTATTGCTCTTCATTTCAGGAAATTTCGACTGTGTTAAATAACTCGAACTGCAATATCCAGTACGGTCAAGACTCTGTTACAGACTATAAACCCACAACAGATGTCATTATTAACACGTGTAATGTCACGGGATTCTGGGATACGTATGACGCTGACGTAGACAAACTGTGTGCACGTCTGGGACCGGAAATGGGGAGGCATTCTCTGACACATTCAAACGTTTTCTGTTACATTTGTAATCCAAGTGAAACTGTAAAATCAGACGTGATATCAACTTGTAACGTCACAGGGAAATGGAACTTTCTGGATCAAGGTCTGAGAAAAGCTTGTGAATACTACCCACTTGCACGAAGCGAACAACCCTATAAAAACTGGTTTTGTCGCTTATGTAACCAAAACAATGCAGATCCGTCTACGGTTGACTTATTGGACGGAAGTATTACTATAGATTTCGACACTGTCGCCTCCTGGAATCACTATCCCGCACAACGGTATGACGTCACGGTTCAGAGTGTAGATATAGAAAATATCGTCAATATTGTGAAGTTGCAAAGAATGAGTGACAACAGCACAGAAACTGAGTTCAAAAGCATGATACAGGAAATTTTGGAAAACGATGGCGAAATTGATTTTCACGGGACTACAGTAAATATTACGCACTTGTTATTCAAAATCTATTTGAGGACCGGATCGTATGACATTTGTACCCCTTCACTCTTGAATGTAACATTTACCGAGAGGTCGAACAACTGTTCATGTAACCTTAATTGTATATTTAGCAAAACAGATGTCTGTTGCCCGGATGTGAAACTTCTGGCGCGAACGAAATGTATCGATGAGTTCGGGCTGTCGGCAACTCCCAGTGGCTTAAATACTGTCAACCAATGGCTAGTAACCGACAAATGTCCGGCCGACTATGATGATGACGTCATATCGTATTTATGTCAAAATGATGAGGTAAATTCTGCTTACCAGTTGGTTCCAGTCGAAAGCATTGCATCTAAAATGGCATTTAAGAATATATTCTGTGCGATCTGTCACTTAAACAATGACATGGCTGATTCTTATGACGTCTTCGTGAGAAAAATGGATTTTTATACAATCAGACTTGTCTGTGCATTGCCAGTTCCATTTCAAAATGAATTATCAATCAGTGATATAATTTCTCGCGCCAAAACCGAAAGCTGTACCATTCAGTACGTTCCCGCAAATCTGATGTTGACTTGTGACGTGGCTAAAGTAAACAGAGGACAGTGCAATAAAGTAAATGCATGGACAGAGGGGGACCCGGATGTCAAATGGGCCTGTGAAAACACTGACATTTTCCCGCCTTTCGAAAATTCTGAAAACATTTTTTGTGATATCTGTAACCCTTCTAAAACGAATCCGGCTTTCTTCAAGTCCTGTAACATGTCACGTGTATGGAGACATTATAACCAGGATTTAGAAAAGGCTTGTTTGTCGTACCCTGCAATCCAAAAAACGTCACCATTCAAAAACGGCTTATGTCAGAGATGTAATTCTCCTGAGTGGTCAAGAACTTTTAGGAAGAAATCCGTGATGCTTGGGACAGTGAATAACCTCAATGACTTGAATCTTCTCGATTACCCTAGAACCACCCTTCGAAGTTTTTTTACTACGTATTACGAGCAGCCGTTAAATGATGAGGACGTCCCCGTGACCTGCAAACACAACCAGATCTATGACGTGTGGAAGGTATGTATATGCCTTGCCATTGAATGAATTTTCTTTCCATAAAAAAAAAAAAAATAAATAAATAAATAAATACAGTCAACAAAAAACTTAAATTCCATGAAACTACGGCTAAATATGACCAAAAGAAATGTTGACAAGGAAATCCCTGAAAAGGTAAAAAGAAAATAAGACCAGGTATCTTAATGTTATGATCTCGAATGAAAACAAAGTGTACAACCAGGAAATCAGAAGGCATATCAACCTGCATCAAACATGCCAAACGTCAAATCCCACAAGGATATAGATCTTCCGAAGAGATCATTATGACGACCACAAAACTTCCCCATAATTTTCATCTAACTCCATCTTTCAAAACCCGATGTTTTGAGTAAGCTAATGTTTTACATCTCGCACGAAAATTGTGGTATCGGGAATCAAGTGTATCATAGTAGAAGTAGGGGGGGTTGCTATCTAGAAATGAAAAAATCACAATAGAAAAATCGAAATGAGTATGATTAAGCTTGGTGGAAATGAAATTTCTTTAACTTTTTATTTTTTTTATTTCCATATGGGCGTAGATTACAAAAACGAAAAAGTATCATCTCCATCGTAGTCCGAACTCAAAATCGATAAAACTTGGGCAAAATATGAACAAAAGAAATATTATCACGAGACTCCTAAAAAAAGCATGAAGAGAATATTGAAAATAATATCCAATAAGACCAGGTGTCCCGGAAGAGGGAGCATTTTCTGCTTCGTCGACGACACCCGCCATGTAAATTCATGTCAATCCAAGTAAGTAATGTCACGTTCTCAAACGAGAACAATGTATACAACAACGAAATCCACAAAATAATGAGCAGTTAACACGTCTCACAATGAAGTAGAATATTTCGCATTGAGATCACTATGCAAACCGTAACACTTTCCCATATTTTTCAGTAACCTGCATCTTTTGAAACCCTGTGTTACGAGTTTACCCGTCAGTTGACGATTTCGCGAAAATTGAAACAGGTCCTTTGATATCGAAACAACTGAGAGACAAGACTGATGCTATCCAGAAATGGAAAGTCAACAAAATGGAAATTGAAATCATCACGCCTATTTATTTATATCTGAATTCATTTTTTTTTATTTTCTTCTTCAGGAAAAATGTCGGAATTTAACATGTAACCCTGGCCGACATCTTTACAACAAAACTTGCGTACCCCTGCTTAAGACGACCACCAATCTGTCGTATTCCCTGTCACTAGGTTTGCACGGACAAATCAACATAACTGAAGTCTACATCACTGACTTACTAGAAGGGATCAGTTATGACGTACATGCTCACCTTGAACGAATCCTTAACGTCAAGCACGATAGTATAACGATATCGTCATTCCATGTAATGTCAAACATTGGGTGTCCAGATCGGACGTCTGTCCTTCAGTCTGGAAGCTCTCTTGATATTCTTATATCTACCCATTTTGAAATTCAAAATGAATACACCGACAGATTTGAAACAGAAAAAACACTTGTGGAACTTCCAGGTAAAATCATGGATGTGAGATATGCGAAGAAATTGAGCCCATTTAGAATATCTAAACAGCAGAAAGCCTTTATATTGTCGGCTCTTATCAAGAAAACCAGTCTTAATCACAAGTGCTACACTAAACAAATGCTGTCGTCTAAATTTAGTCCCCATAGGTCGTACAGGAGATCACAGGTAGGTGAACTTCTACAGTGCAGACAAGTGCTTCTTGACAAGCATGAATATGAAGTCGATGAAGATGGAATGACTTTGACTTTTGCCGGAAGTGACGTCATGGTACACTATCCTGACTTTGAATCTATATCAAATGGCCAAGTTCGGGTATGCGAGAGTAGATTGCCGTCGGTATTTCCTGTGAAAAGTGTTGAGAATACATTTGAAAATGCTTATCGCATATTTACACTGGTATTCGTATGTTTGTCTCTTCTCTGTATCCTGATTTCGGTCATTCCTTACTACAAGTTCGCTTATCTCCGGACATTGTCGGGATTAAATAATGTCGGCCTGATGACGTCGTTATTTATCGTACAGTTAATCTTCATTATACAAACTTTTACCGCTACAGGAAATGACACCGTTTGTGCCATATTTGGAATACTGATGCACGTGCTGTGGCTCGTGTATTTCGCGTGGACTGGGGTGGGTACGTTACATATGTACCGGGTCTTCGTATCGGATGATTACTTTATTGACGACGATAAGAGATACTCAAGTTTCCGCCATTACGGAACATGCACTGCGATTTTCGCGGGGATTGTGGTGATATTGAATATAGGGCTCACAGCAGCCATAACTGGTGGAGCAACTATCGGGTATGGCGGGAATGGATGCTTCATGACGTCACTTCCCGGAAAAATACTGTCATTCATTGTGCCAGTGATATTGATTTGTGGATGGGATGCAGTTTTCTTTTGGGTCACTGTCCGTCATATTCGTAACACATCAATGAATTGTCGAAGTGTCATTGCAGATAAGTCGATAAAAAAAGACAACAAATTTTCTTTAGGTCTGTTTCTTAAGTTGTTCATTATCAGCGGATCAAGTTGGATTTTACAGGTCATAGACGGATTCTTTCCGTTGTCAGTGTTTTCTTTTATTGTAACATTGGTTAATGCTTCCCAGGGGATCTTAATTTTGTATCTGAGCAGGAAAAACTTCAAAAAGAAGAAAAACAGACGTCGACCTGGATCCAGATACACCGGAAGTGCGTCACGCAGTCATTCAACTACTCTGTCTTCATCAACTAAGCCCAAAAGGACTTCAGTGAATACGGTAAGTGAAAAACTTCAGAATAACGGCTTTGATTCTATCAAAGATATTTGCATATCTCAACAACGACGTTTGTCTACTTCATCAAATGATCTATCCACGAATTCCACTGAAAAAATAATCCGTGAAGACAATGAGAAATCCTACTCCGGCAGCGAGACTATTCAATTTAACGTGCTTGATGGTGACAGAAATGATTTTGAATGTCATGCTAATGCTATGTATCAATCTGAACCCATTGAACTGGGAAAGGACGGTAAATACCCTGATCATGTGGGGGAAAAAGACGATGACTCCATTGATGACAGGGCCGAGTGTGCTTCTATCGAAGATGAAGGAGAGATATCGTTCACTCTACCGGACCAGGATCAAACCGAAGTCTAATTAGGTCACTCTGCTGGACTAGGATCAAACCGAGGCTTAATTAGGTCACTCCACTAGACCAGGATCAAACCGAGGCCTAATTAGGTCACTCCGCTGGACCAGGATCAAACCGAGGCTTAATTAGGTCACTCCACTAGACCAGGATCAAACCGAGGCCTAATTAGGTCACTCCGCTGGACCAGGATCAAACCGAGGCTTAATTAGGTCACTCCACTAGACCAGGATCAAACCGAGGCCTAATTAGGTCACTCCACTGGACCAGGATCAAACCGAGGCCTAATTAGGTCACTCTACTGAAGCAGGATAAAATCGGAACTTATTAAAATAATTATAATCATGAGTTATTTTGATGTTCCAGTATGATCCCAGCACCTAGTCAAGCCTTTTATGACTCTTCTCTTTTGTTAACACAGCTAAGAAATATACAGCATAGCTGATTATTTTTACGGGTCGAAATTTTCGTGATTTGCTTTTAACACGGTCGAACTGTATTTTAACGAATTGAATAATTCGTGATTTCATTGAACATTGAATATACACGTATGTCATTATTTTACGGGCCATTTTTGCGGTCATGTGAATGAACCGTGAAGTAGGGAAAACATCACCCCCGGTAAAATACCCGGCTAAACAGTATATATTCTAAAGCTGACATGTGACGTAACAAATATTCATATTTCTGTGTCACTAATCAGATAACACATTTTGATTAATACGAAAAATGTTGGTCATCAGCTCAATTCTTAAAATTTTATTTTTTTATGAAAATTCTTTACTAAAAGAAGAAGCATCTGCCGATCATTACTATATTTGAATATTTCAAAAAATGTGTCATGGCGTTTATTTTTCTTCTCAAATTTGTGTATAGCGCTCATTGGGCAGCTTTGATCGCATTTACTGGTTCCTAGTTACCTACCCTAAGTTTGATACTATAAATAGTAACAGGATGTAAACTTAAATCTGTAGACATAACGATCTACAATGGTCGTCCGTGTGTGGCAATGGTCCTTGTTGCCATTCATATATATCTATTACATTTGGCATTTTTTCAAGACATTCTTCTCGCCATGTGCTGTAATTGTTGAATATTATGTTGTATATTGATTTATCATGTTATTCCTAATATTACAATTCGTTCGACACCGTTACGGTTCAGGTTTTTTTTTGTAGTTATTGCTCAATCAAATAAATATTCTTTCATACAATCTAAGTATTTATTACTTGTTTACACGTTTTGACATTTCTACCGAAATTATATTTATTTTTTGTTTGTTTTTCCAGAGCCATTATTAGAAATTGTCTTGGCTAATTAGTGTCTATATACACGTTCAAGGCAATTGTATTACATAAACGATACTTCCTTGTTTCGTTGTAAATATTTTTGTGATAGAAGTTCAAATGCCAAACCCATTTGACTTGTGCAGATCTGTTTTAGAACTACAGTTCTAACATTGGCCATAAAGCAGGTGATGTGTTGTCACATTTTTGTCACAGTGCGCAGAGCACCCCAAAGGGCAGCATGGTCAATAACTATTCTTTTGTTACAATATTACATAATTAAAAAGTTGTAACAGAACAGACAGGGGATCATGTTGATAAAGAAAAGTCACTACAATCATTGTTTTTGAATCTCATTCAAATTTTGAAATCATTTTCGTATTATTTCTCAAAGTCCACTCCCGTCTGGCTTACTCCGCAATCATTGGGTTGGTATATATATGATAATCTCATGGTAATCCCGCAACTAACACCTCGTTAATATTGCTTGGTGAGATTGTTTTGGCAACGCTGGTTCGACCTATTTCACAACTGTATAAAGGTATACTGTAACATTTGCATGTTTCAATGGTTTAAGTATTCTTTACTTTACCAAAAGCTTTACAGTGATTAAGTTGTCATTTTCAAGGAAACCATGAATCGGGCTTTGAATGTCCATATATTCATCCAACCCACAAAAACAGTGAAATAACGCCACTTTAAGAATGAAATTCAATAACAAAACGGTCACGGCAGATTTAACAAAAAAAGTTTTTAACCCATTATCTGTTTACAAAGTGTATTCATACCTGAACGAATACGGTTTTAAATCTGTAATGAGACAGCAGTTACTGTAAACATACCTGATTTTTGGCAATCGAATGTTAGCGCATCGCAGTTCTTTTTGTAAATTAACACAAATGGGAATTAGCGCATTCACTCTGACTGACATATTCATAAATTGCATGCGCTATCATTTTTGAGCGCAATGCTGTCAGCGCCAATACGCCAAAAGAATATTTCTGGAATATCTACACTCACGTTATAGTAATGGGTTATTATAAACTTTATAAATGTGTATTAATTTTGGACTTATTTTGTCATTTTTTTTGTGTGTTCTTTGATGAATCTATTATTATGAACTATAAATAAAAAACAAAAACAAAACATTCCGTGTTTATCTTTATAATGAGAAGGATATATTGAAAGTATATTTTATTGATACAAACAGAAGAACGATATTTGATGGTTTGAAACTCCACTGTTATACCACAGAAAAAGAAAGAAGAAAAGGGATGAAAAAAGTAGAATACTTAGAGAAAGAAAGAAAGAAAGAGAAATTGTTACACGTGTGCTTTCTAAAGAAATATCTAGAGAGAGATAGAGAAAGAAAGAAAGAAAAAAAAGCAAGGACGAAAGAAAAAGAATGAAGAAAAGAAGGCATTGGGACAACACTAAACAGAATCATTGTAAATCATATTTGTGATTGTTCAAATATCGCTTAGCTAGAATAATTTAATTATAGTGGACATTTTGTGAACAACATTCAAACATCGTCTTTAGCTGTGGTCATATTAGGGAAAGTTTGCCACTGACGGACATTTTTGTAGTGTCATCCCACTGAAATATCACAACATGGACACAGTAACATGTATGGCTACACTAAGTCGCTTCTAATGATAAAGCAATGGGGAACGTATGATTCTTACACCACACAGTAGAGGAGACAAAGTGACAACGAAACAACGACAATGACCCAGCGACAACGACAAAGTGGCAACGAAAAAGCGACAAATCTTGATAAAATTGCATTAAGAAGTAGCAAATAACTTCGATACGGAAGTTGGTTTTGTTAATGTTTCCATGGAAACTATCTATAAGTTGTAAGAAATGGTAAGGTGCCAGTTTTTACTCCCTGGAGTTGAAACGGGTGTATACAAAGCAAAAAAAAACATTTTCTGTTCGAATGTTACGGTCGTCTTTCATTAATACATTTACTTCAAATGATAACAAAACTTCTTAAAAAAGTGAAATATTGAAACTTCTTAAATAACTGGTAACATTGTCTATAGATAAAACGCTTTATCTTAATTGCCCTGATATATCAGGACGACAATCACAGCATTGATTTAGGTGTGGCCGGTACAGACATAGTAAACTTGGTCCTGCTAGCGCTGTCACGTTTATAGCATAGGATTTCAGTATTACTGGTCAGGTCCATCACATGATACAAGTTCTCCACCAAGAAAGATTTTATCTCCGAGTTTAAATTTACTGTTTCTAGTAATACATATAGAGTGCTGATTGTGAAATGGGTATTGGGTCCCATATCAGATGTCTTATACTCGTATTAAAACCTTGTGCGATAGTCATTTGGACAAAGCGGTTATTGTTCAAATTATGTCATATTTGTACAAAACGTATTGGATTACTGCAACTTTTTTCCACTTTGAATGCGTGGTGTTTTTTCAACATGAGTACTCATAGGTTTTCAATGTTCATGTTTAAACAACATTTAGAGCAGAAATGTATGAAAATATTAAGAAAAAATGGTTTAATAGGAATATTACACTTATACTGAGTTTGTTCATAAAATAGAAATATCATATTTGTCAACACCGAACAAGCGCCGAGCCTTTCGCATTACGTTCATTGAAGTAACAACCATCTATTACAATAAAATCCCACTTCAGGGATCTTGGTTGTTCATGCTACGATCATAACGTTACATGTTTTCTGGAAAATGTTTGATTTTCGAGTGTTATCAATAATATTTTTCTGTTATGTTTTTTTTTCTCTTTTTTCCTCTTTCTTTTATAATTGGTTAGACGGTAGACTGCCCTCTGTGGAGATATACATCGGAAATGGCACAGAATCTTGTCATACCTTGGGTCATTATGAAGTGACATAACTATCGTTCCCGCTATCTATACAAGTCAAGCCTGGACTGTTGAAATACTAATTTCAATCCACGAACACATAAGAATGTGACAGATGAACCGTTCAGTGTACGTATGAACAAAGAGAGAATGTGCAACATTTGGTCAACTACATGTGAATGGTTGGCATTTTTCCAGGTTTTTTTTCAGCTTTGTTATTTCATGCCAAAACCTTTTATATGACGAAATCCTACACATTCTTTATTCCATCAATTTGAAGAAAGTACGAAGGTGGTCGGGTGTCGAACTGGTAACCCACTCTCCGTTCACCTAGCCGACCCGCTGTTTCGATTTCCGGAACAGGCGTGGAAATGTATTGGTCACCTGTCCGACCACGTGAAATTTCCCTGGGTACCTCTCTCGCGCTTACATTCGGACAAAAAAAACTATATAAGTTGAAATAACTTGTTTACAATTGTGCTAATACAAAGAAAGTTTATCCATTTAAGTATGAAGTTATTAAATACATACAGAAATATGATATTAGTCAGGTACACCTAGTCGATCGGGGTTCGATTCCTGGATCATGGTATGCGTCACCTGCCCGACCACATGGGTTTTCCCTTGGAAACTTCGGTTATCTCCCTTAGTAACACTTCTTCAGGGCTTCAACCCGGGAAATCAACAATGGTTAGTAAAAATTGATATAACTTTATTCTCACTGTTATGTAAACGAAAGACCTTTTTATATATTTGTAAGTTTTAAAGGTTGAAGCAAGCTCTAGATTCGTGTTAATCTAGAGTTGGAAATCAGTCGATTACATACTGGCTTCCCTGGTGTCGGTCATCTGCCAGCTTACATACCCGTGAGAATCGACATTGTTTCAAGATAAAAAACTCTTCTGCTAGAATGAGCTGAACGTCAACACCTTAATTGTATTTGATATTTGTACTTTAAAAATAAATATGGAATGCGGCCGTATTCGTGTCTATTTAAAGCATAACGAAAGTGGCCGTCCACGTGTCTTTTTAAAGCATGTCTATAATTAACTCGCCATTGTCCCATACTTAGGTTACTTATATGGTACGCTCTCGTTACGTAATCACAAAAACTCTACTCTATAATACTTACTTCAGGCGCGAAATCGGATTACAAACATGAAGGTCGTTACAATTTTTAAACATGTTACGGCTATCCAAAAATAATGGCGAATGTCAGATCAGTTTCTAACAAGTTAAAAAAACTACTAATGAAAAACGAAAAGTTTTTAAAAATCTACTTTTATCCAGTCTTGCAGTTGTATACATATCTGTTTGTTTGTTTGCTGTATTTGTCGCCTGTTAAACAGTCAATATTATATTGAGATGTTATCTCAAATAAAGTACGTGTAGCAGAGGTCTACTTCATTGAACACAATGCGAGAGGACCGTCGAATTACATTGAAAACAATTTAGGGAAAAGTATCTTACCCAAAACAGAAAGCTTCGGAGAATCAAATTTCGACCCACAATTAATCATCTTCAGTTACATGCCTCGAGTAATCTTTCTGGGTCTCCTGTCAGAGTTTCTTTGGTTAAACCAAAAGGTCTAGAACCATGTCATTTGTCTTAGATGTTCCAGAAACGAACCAAGACAGAGTCTTAAATAAACAATACACTGACCCCTTTTCAAGGTCACGGGGTTTAATTTGTTTAAATATTCAAATGACGATTGGTGATAACCAAAAAATTTTGAATAATATTTTGCTGATACATGTAGGTTCCTGAAATAGAGATGACAAATGATTTTATATGTAATGACCTTAACCCGTAGTCAAGGTCATAGAAGTTAAATGTTTTTTTTTAAACAGTCACGGGGTCAGTGCAACATTGGGATGTTGGACAAATTTACTTGATATATATATATAACTAAAACCATTTACAGAAATTGCTCGCCATTAATTTGCATAAAGCGGCGGTGAAACCATAGTTACTATTTTTATCCGAAACTATGTTCGCTAGTGTAGACTGAAAAAAAAAACAATAAATGAATAAATAATTAAATAAAAAAAGAATTCGCTTTTCTGCCTAATATTTCGCTCCGCTCGTCATCGTCATTTCGCCCAGCTCACTGAGCGGTTTCGGATCACGACAGCATTTGAGATATACTACGGTTGAGCGAAATAACGAGGAATATCGTTCTGTGGTTGTGTTATAACGAAAGTCAGAGGGGAAATGAAAAAGGTTGTTTCATAACCGATCTAACATGGCAGAGATTACTTTATATCTTATTGTCCTGCAAAATAGCCAAGATTGTAGTAATTTCGCCCCGCGTGAGAAGAAATTAATTTTTTCGCGTTTCTCGGCGACAAAACGAATGATTTACATTATTCTAAAGCGTAAGAACGATAGTTTAACTGTTATTTCACTCAGCAGACAATAAAACGGAGTTGATAGTTACTTGATTCTGCTGGGCGACAGAACGAAAATTAACATATCTCGGAGCGACAGAACGGTACAAATATATCGTTAAAGATATATCTTTTAATTGGTTATTTATAGATGTTTCACTCTTTAGAACAGAAGAGTAAAGATTATTCTTACTTTTCTCCGCGGAGCAACAGAACCAAATTGACTGTTATTTTGATAAAATAAATTCAAGTAGCATTACAAAAAATGAAGATTGTTTTCATTTTGCTCCGAAAGGCAACAGAACGAGAATCGTTATCCGTAATTCGGGAAAGACAAAACAGATTACCGTTACTTCGCAACTCATCGACATAACTACATGTTTTGTTATTTCGAGGTAACGATAATAAGCTTGGGTAAATATTCCTGGCTACTGTCTTCAACAACTGTTAATGTTTATGTCTCGGCGAAAAGACAATAATTATAAGCATTTCTCTGTGATATAACGAAAAGGCATATATCAAGTTCAGCCATCAGACCTAGATAATCTAATTTGCTGAAATTAATCAAACGTAGTTTCTGAAGCCGAGTAAGGTTTGAAAAACTAGCGACTGAAGTTGATGTATGTTTTTTCCCTTATGTTCTTTATGTCTCATCTCTGGTTTTATTCCGTGCGTCTCCCGGAGGTTAAGACTCGATTCCAGTTGGTCAGGACTTGCTGAAGGGGTAGACAGGGGGCCTGGAGGCCTAGGAGTAAAGAGAAGAGAAGTAGGGATTAGGGGAGGCAGGCAGGAGTTGGCGAGAAAGTCTCACTCATTTACCTGGTTTTGTGTGGATAAATTGCTTCATAAAAACATAATGATAATAATAATTTAGATTTACCCTATTCATTACAATCTCCATACACCTAGGTTTATAAAATTTGTAAACTGCCAAGGAATAACTCCACATTAAATTCTGACAGTATGTCAAAGTCTTATCTGTATTTCCCCCTATGGACCCTCATGGTGGTAGTGTGGGATCCTTGTTACTGCCATTTCCAAGGAATTTTCAACCTAGTAAAGATTGAAGTTTGACAAACAGTGGACAGTTGTACAAACTGATTTTTGAGTGTCATTACATTTTCAAGATGGCTACCATCAGCCATGTTGGATTTTGTCATTCGAGGTTAGCTTCTGTATGGTTATTACTGAGGAACTTCTTCAGGAATCTCCGTGAAACGTTACAGATATGTTCAGTACCAGTTCTACTTTCACATGCTGAATTTTGAGTTTCCTTACATTTTCAAGATGGCCACAAACAGTTGCATTGAAATAAACAAGTAGAGTGTGCCATTTCTTAAGAATTGCTGCGGGATTTTGAATTTTTCCTTCTTGAAACACTTTGAGCACATGTGTATGGGTATTAATAGTGCATACCATAATTTACACTTCACCACACTTTCAAGATGGCTGCCAGTATTCAATAATACATTACAAGACAAAACATTGAAAATGTTAAGAAAGGGTCAAATAAATCACAACAAAATTAGTTCCACTTTTGATTCTTTACTAACAGTACATTAATGTATATCAGGGTATAACATGTTCAACTTTATTTGACTTTTCTCTCCATGTCCATTAAAAACTTCTAAAAATACAAAATTCTAGTCCAAGGCGAGTTAACATTAATTCAAGGTCAGATGCTGATATAAAGATCAAATTGACACATACCCACTGTTCAGGCTCAACAGTGAACAAACTTTCCAAATGTGAATAAATGAGATTAAGAAGGGGTTGATGAATATCTACTGAAGTAAATAAAGTATACTTATATCCCTAGGCCTATTATCTGACATAGACTTATCAATGTATCCTCATGTTAATACGATTTGAAAATCAGAAACTGAATTTTTGTCTGAATTTTCATTTCTATGTTAATGTATCCTTATAGTATTATACACTGAATATCAGAAATTGAATTTTTGTCAGAATTTTCATTTCTATGTTAATGTATCCTTATAGTATTATACACCGAAAATCAGAAACAGAATTTTTGTCAGAATTTTCATTTCTATGTTAATGTATCCTTATGGTAATGTACACCGAAAATCAGAAACTGAATTTTTGTCAGAATTTTCATTTCTATGTTAATGTATCCTTATAGTATTATACACCGAAAATCAGAAACTGAATTTTTGTCAGAATTTTCATTTCTATGTTAATGTATCCTTATAGTATTATACACCGAAAATCAGAAACTGAATTTTTGTCAGAATTTTCATTTCTATGTTAATGTATCCTTATAGTATTATACACCGAAAATCAGAAACTGAATTTTTGTCAGAATTTTCATTTCTATGTTAATGTATCCTTAGAGTATTATACACCGAAAATCAGAAACTGAATTTTTGTCAGAATTTTCATTTCTATGTTAATGTATCCTTATAGTATTATACACAGAAAATCAGAAACTGAATTTTTGTCAGAATTTTCATTTCTATGTTAATGTATCCTTATAGTAATATACACAGAAAATCAGAAACAGAATTTTTGTCAGAATTTTCATTTCTATGTTAATGTTTCCTTATAGTATTATACACCGAAAATCAGAAACTGAATTTTTGTCAGAATTTTCATTTCTATGTTAATGTATCCTTATAGTATTATACACCGAAAATCAGAAACTGAATTTTTGTCAGAATTTTCATTTCTATGTTAATGTATCCTAATAGTATTATACACCGAAAATCAGAAACAGAATTGTATAAAAAATTCTAGGGTTTTATTTGTTATTATCATTTTATTTTAAATCAATATAAGGTTATCTCTTCCATCCAGAAGATTTGTCATCGTCTGAATCGTCTCCTTCCTCCTCACCATCATCCTGAACTTCAGCAGCTTCCCGTTCAAACAATTCACAAAATGCTACATAGTCAGACATGGTCATATTTCCATATTTTTTCAAGAAAGCACGAGTTGAGATATCAACTATATCTTCTAGGATAGGATTGGGATTAATCTCTCCCTTTTTCACTCTCTTTTTATAAAACCCTGCACGTACCAAGAACACATGTCTCTGTCTGATATGACTGAGACTGTGTTTAAACAGACTGCTGTACATGATCTGTCTCTGGGTTATACCCATCTCATGAAAAACATAGTCAAATTTTTTCTTGATTACATCTAAATCTTCAGTCAAAATGGATGGTGATTTCTTTATAAGATCCAGAACATCTTTGGTCTTGAACAATTTTTCAAGATCTGAGATACGTCTCTGCACAGCCTTCATTGGCATTTGGAGCACCTCTGGTAGTCCTTCTATGACCAATAAAATATCTGGACTTATGAAGCCAAGTTCACGTAAATTTTCAATCTTTTCACTAATCACATCTTTTGGTATGTCTAAAACCTCTGGAAACATTGTCACAAGCTTGCATGTCCTTCTGCCATTCAGACCATTCTTGTACAAAAAATGTGTGATAGGTATAAACGCATTATGTCTTGATAATTCTTTTTTTTCTACTGTCATCAAATGTATTTGATTTGGAGACAAACGTAAACTATACAAGTGTCGAACACAATTTTCCAACTCCTTTTCCAAATCATCTCCAACTATCTCATTTTCCTTGGTTTTTTTCACGACGTTCCAAATTATCTCTCTGATTTGGTTTTCAATTTTCTCTGCCAGTGCAATCATTCCCTTTGTTCTATCGTCCGTGTCTGGATCAGTCATGTTTGTTACTCTCCCACCATGATCAACATGAACAAGTCTTTTGACCATGACACACTCAGAGTATAAATAACCTTCTGACTTTCCAAACCATGATTCTTGTGTGCGAGACACCCTTTTGAATTTCAGATTTGGAGTGGAGGTATTCTGTAACTGACCTTTTAGGTATATACTCAGGCTTCTATTTTGTCCACAAAATTTCAAATGGGTTGTCTCCCCTCGTTTCAAATACGTCCCCACTATGGAAAGTACATACTTCCAACTCAACATAGGGCGCAAAGCATGTAGAATCTTCATCTTGGACAGGCTGTAGGGATAACCCTTATCACTTCCTGTAAAAACATAGACACGAAGATATAGATTTACTACTGTGTAAAATTTGTTTGTTTAGCAACTTGTGGTCATTCTAACTTTAGGCAAATATTAAACCATTCTGCCACACATCACTGTCATGTCTGCAGCATGTAGAGAGGTGAAAGTACAGCTCTGTTTCAAACAAAAAAAAAAAATAAATAAAAAATATTATATATAAAAACCATGATATTCCTGTGAATCAGGACTTTTTTGGTCACAGTTTAATTTTAGACAATATTACATCAATAGTTTTGATCTGTTAAAGATAAACAGCAAAAATTATCCAATCTATTATAAACACTACCAGGTCCAGCACAATTAGATATATTGTGCTATATTTTCAAAAATTCTAGATTTAATATGAACAGAACAAAGTTATATTTGAAGGATGTTTTATCATAAAGTTTATAATTTTAGACACCAAGTAACACATTCCTTTTAAAAGAAGTTAATTGGTGCAAAATTATTTTAAAATGTTCAATTACACTTGTATGAACATATGAAAAGTAAAAACAAACATTTAGCCTAACTATATATGCATTCCATGTCATGCCCTTCAAGTTACAATATCACAGAAACTCAGTTTTTGTGTGATTTTGTTTCAATCTGATCAAATCTGAAATTTGTAGTAATTGAATTTAATTGGCATATTGTACTGGATCTGCCCACCTGATTTAATTGGCTCACTATAATGCTGATGATTTTGAATAACAGGGTTGTATACTTCAGGCAAAAATTGCTCCAGTAAATGAACGGTAATCAAAAAACAAATAAAAAGTCATAACATACCTGAACAATCTTTTTCCATTCTGGGCAATGTCTATCAATTAAATGAAAACTGAGATGATTTTAGGAAGGGCTGAAATCCCAGAACATCTTCTAAATGCAGTTAAAGCTAAGAATTCCAGATACCAGATACAGTAGTTTAAGCAAATTACACAGGGACCCAGTTTTAGAATTTTGAGTAACATGTTGTGATTTATATGTAAATATATATCTATGCGTGTTTTTGTATATGTAATTGTTTTGTCAGATATGTTTGAAATATGTAGGCATGTGTTGAAATATATGGTCTGAGCTAGCTTAATATATTTGTCAATGTTATATCATGGTGTTAGCCACCTTAAAAATTGCTCTTTTTAAACTTTTTAAAGTATGTTTTCAATTTATCCATGTCTTGACATGTGATGTGACATTGGCACTTACGACGTGACAAGACTAAATAACATAATCTTTATTTTGGGACATTTCTATCTTGTGTTTGTTCTCTTCTCGTGATGTGAAAAAATACCCCCTCCCTACAATATGATTGTCATTTACAAACCCTTACAATTGGCACCCATGAAGGTGCATACAGTGAATTTATTCGAACACGGGACTCCTGAGTCCTGGTTCACTAGTCTGTTGGTCAACCGGTCGAGCAAAAGTTCTCTCGAGCCCAGAAGTATTTTGCGATTAGTATGTTACCAGGGTTAAATTCATACCCATTTTGAAATCATACGAAAATTTGTGCACATGTGCCGGCCTCGTCTGCCGGTACACTTATAAGTATGAATGTATCGACAGACGAAGCTAGTATCTTTGATTGTCGGTATCGTACATATGCCGTCAATTTAAGGACCTGATATATGATGACATGATTTTCTGAAACCGAGCCCTTAAGTCTATAGTGGACTAGAATAAAACATACTTTCCAAAATATCTTTGGTTCAGATGACCTCATACGTGTGTTTCTTTACATGTCAAACACGGTACACAGTTCTACCAATGCAGAACACGTTCTCAGAGTATATCCAATTAAGCTCTTTTGAAAAGGAGGTGCGTTTTACCGCAAAGGGAGCGGCTATTTAAAGTAAAACAAAGAGATATGGTAATTATTTGAATATATCATTTTAATTTAGTGAATAATATAACATCCTCATTTATTACAAAGTGTTAAGATATTTTTGGTTATTATCATAAATATTTTATTTTCATATGCACTAGTTTAAAATGTTAGATACTGAACGCTCCCCGCTGAAAGAGAAGCATGGGGTCATTCTAACAAACTAGAGCTTGAGGTGAGCCGAAATTATGATGTTTAGAATTTGCATAGTAATGCTCACCAAGGTATACTAATATTTATATTTACAGCTTTTGAGTGAGACTACACACTTACAGATGGTTCAAGACACAGTGAAATGGAAACGACATTGACAGATCATAATCTCTCTAGTAGTGATATATCTCACCCGTGACCGTGTACGCCAATAGTTCTCAATACCTCGCCCCTGCCCCCACCCCCCACACACCGCCATTCCCGCCCCGCTTAATAGCTTGTCATCAAATCATATCTACTTGTGCCCCATTCACTTCTAGCCTGTAGTTAGCGTCAGAACTTAAAACTGTAATGACCTGAGTTTTCTGTCAACCAGTGGTAAGTTTCATAATAAGTGTTGTGGCACTTCACAGAATATTTCTTCTTTGTGCCTGTTCAGATTCTTTAATACTATCATGGCCAGGATAGCTAGCTTATAAAGAAATTTCCTCTGTCTCAGACTATCTCAGTTTTACTCTGCGACCTCTTTGTATTTTACAACTGAATGCATCCATTATGATACTAAACACCAAAATTTCAGAATTCAGCATCTTTAATTGATTCTTGCACCTCTTTTGGTTATTATTTTTATAAATACAAACACATCAAATAGTTTTTTTTTAAACAGTTTTAGTGCTTTCCTATATAGATTTCAAAATCACTTTTTCAGTTACTGAAAAATCCCTGGAAAACACCTTGAAACTGAAATTGCTTCATGATAAATTCATCATATGAATTGGTTCCAGTAGTTTCAAGCATATTTCTGTGATTAACTTTGAAAACAGCTGCACTATAATTTTCATATTCTTTGCAAAAAAATCCTTTTCAGTACCTTTATATCCTAATGAAAAACCACCAAAGATTGAGATTTAAGAAAGAGGCTTAAAAACGATTTTGATTTGTTGCAGGTCTTTCAGTAATCCAAGATGAGAGTAACTCAACCACTTTTAAAACAAATTGCAAAGCCCTTTAAAAGGGCTTGGGCTGCCAAGTACCCATACCAAGTGAAAGAGATGCCAGATATACCAGACGGTAAGGAAACATGTCTAAATAATACAAATAGACTAGTTTTACCAGTCTTTGTTGAAGCAGTTTCTGATATAAGCAGATAGGGAGCCCTATTACCTCACTGAATATCATGCAGAAGGGCCACTTTCTGCTTTTGGACTCACTCAAATAAATAAAATCATCCAACTTTGCAAGATGCAGTAAAATTTTTAGGGTTTTTTTTTCAAGCGAGTCAAGAACACTTTATCCAACATTCTGATGAGTCCCATAGCTAACATATATGGTGGGTTTTCCAAATTTGAGTGAGTCTGACAGCAAAATCATGAGTGCAAGATTCAAATATCTGAGCTTTAAAATGAATTATCTCCCTTGAGTGTGAACTGATTTTACAAATGGAACAATTATTTTTTGGACTTAAACATGTTAGATATGCTAATTAATACTTGTTTTAGCTGCTAGAGGACACATTTTATTTTTGTGAATATACTGAAGTGAAAGCAGTGTATTTCAATTTATTTCAAGTCAACCAGTCCTTGTGAGCTTAGGTCACTTATTTACAAGTTCAATTATATTTGTGAAATAATTATTGTATGTTAGTGACATGGAAACATGTACTACAATCGTTTTGCATTTATTTTAGATATTGAAATCTCGGACCCATTAAAGAAGACAGAGTGGAATAGAAGAAAAGATTTGGAACCTGCATCTCAATCTGTTGATGAGAAGGAGCTTCCAGGCTATAACACTCAGCCAGTATGGGAATTCACCAATATTAATCGGTTTATTGAAGGTACTTCAAACAGCTCTAATTTTATGTCAGTCTTTATTGACACTCAAATCACATTTTTACATCTCATGATTCAAATCATGCTGGAAATATTCATGATTTTATAAGTAAGGTAACCCCTAAAATTCTTTTCATGAAATCTCCAAACATTGATAAAGAGAACAAATGTTTTTCAATAAAACTTGTTTGTTAACTCACTGTATAATTGTTTTTGCTGTGACTAATATTTTGCACTTATCCTAGTTTGGCAAAGATACCTGGGAATTAAATTTTCGGGATGTCTATACATTTATCATTGGTATCCATGTAGGTAGACAGATAACAAATGCTTTCTTAGAATTTGATTTATTTTCGTGTGCAGGACTTGTACTTCACAGTTGTCCTAGTTTTAGCTTGCAGGGCTCTCGATCTGCCAGATTTGGGGCCGATATCAGGCCCCATTCCCAATGCAAAATAGTATCTTTTTTTCCCAATTTAGACACCAAGTTTTCCCAATTCTAAGGAAAACACAGCTATTTTTCCCAATTCTAAGGAAAACACAGCTATTTTTCCCAATTCTAAGGAAAACACAGCTATTTTTCCCAATTCTGAGGGCCCGGGGCCACAGTCCCAAAATGGGGTGTGAGAGCCCTGGCTTAACGTAGATTTAATATATTGATATGTCATACATTTCTATTATTCTCTGTTTGCTGAGCTGAGTGTTTAACTTTATCTTTTATGCTTGTCAGTATATCAACATTACATCCCCTGTAGTGTAAATCAGGTGCCAAGTTTTTGTAATATTAAACTTTATATAGTAATTATTTGAACTTGTAATCTTTTTTTGTTACAGGTATAAAACAAGCACAGAATCTGACAAAAACTGTGGTCTACAGTGGAATGCCAGAGAGTGTGTCTGCTTTAATGAATGAAGTGGAACACCCTGACCAGGTGAGGTCAAGGCCATAGTTATTCTTTTAGATAAGGTCAAGGTCATATTTATACTGGCCAGGTGTGGACAAGGTCATATTTGTACCGATCAGGTTACTGTGGAAACATTAATGTCAGAATCTAAATGACCAATATTTGTTAACTTAAAGACCATCATATGTGTGTTTCTTCAAAAAACTGTTTTTGTCATCCCCTTGCGGCCGGCAACTGTTGAAGTGATATAATGTCCCCTTCTTACATACATGCATATGTATGTTCACTTATGTCGTCCCTCCAGCCATTTCATTTCTGAATTGATTTTTATCAAATTTTGAATCTTGGTCAAATTTCATTAAAACCTGGAATGAGTTTTTATTTTAGTGTGCCAGGGTCAACGTTAAGGTCACTTACTATTAATAGAAAATTATTGTCATCGTTCAAGCCACTTCATTTCTTAACAGATTTTGATCAAACATTTTATCATATTGGTCAAGTATCATCATAACTTGAACTAGTTGTTGTTTCCGTTAACGTCAACGTTAAGGTTACATGTGTGTTGGTAATTTTTAAACACAATTACATTAATTATCAGAGGATGAAGTTGCTAGTGTAATTTGACAAGACACTGTTAGATGCAACACAAGGAATGTGTTCTGTAACAAACTTTATGTGAGCGAGGGATTTTTATCATTTGCGATGCCTTGTTACATTAGAAATCAATTTAAGATTTGCTTGCTGCTGTTCCTATGTTCATTGTTCAAGGCACACAACTCTTGTCACTATTATTGTAATTTACAATTGGAAAGAGAATTTTCTTTTCACTACTGTCTATGAATCAGAAGTCATTATTTTTTATAAATTGTTTCAGAATGACCTTCTGAAGAGGATTATCCTTCAGAGTCAGGTATGGGATCCAAGCCAACAAAAACTTCCCAGAAGGATTGATAAATCCTGTATCAAATGGAATTTCCAACGTGAATATGGTATTCCTAGGAACAAAAGTATGTAAGTATTCAGAAATCATAGAAATATACACATCTCAACTTTACCCTGTGTAAATATACAGAACTCAACTTTATCCAGTGTAAATATACACAACTCAACTTTATCCATTGTAAATATACAGAACTTAACTTTACTCTGTGTAAATACACAGAGCTCAACTTTACCCTGTGTATATATACACAACTCAACTTTACCCAGTGTAAATATACACAACTCAACTTTACCCAGTGTAAATATACACAACTCAACTTTACCCAGTGTAAATATACACAACTCAACTTTACCATGTGTAAAATATACACAACTCAACTTTATCCAGTGTAAATATACACAACTCAACTCTACCCTTATATCTAACCAACAGTCTTATCAAACAAGACTTAATCCTGTTTTATTTTATAGTCACACTCTCTAGTTAGCAGTCTTATCCTACAATACACCTATCTATTCTATTTTGTAGTCACATTCTTGGTACAAACATGGTACGCCTGGCCAACAGTCTCATTAATGCACGTTATCCTGCGGCTTTTAAGGACCAACAGCTTATTATCCAGCCGGCATTTGATGCATTCTACACCTTCATGGGTAGGTATGGATAGAACAAAGTGGGGATTGTTTGTTCACAAAGACTAGATTGGCAATCATAGCATATTTATCTTGTTATAGGCCGAGGGAACCAATACATAATCTGGTACAAAGTCAAGGGGTGGGCTTATTACAGGACAATGATATTTGAGGGGCAACACATAATCTCTGACTCAAAGTCTAGGGGTGGGCTTATTACAGGACAATGATATTTGAGGGGCAACACATAATCTCTGACTCAAAGTCTAGGGGTGGGCTTATTACAGGACAATGATATTTGAGGGGCAACACATAATCTCTGACTCAAAGTCTAGGGGTGGGCTTATTACAGGACAATGATATTTGAGGGGCAACACATAATCTCTGACTCAAAGTCTAGGGGTGGGCTTATTACAGGAAATTGGTAAAGCATTTATCAGTTATACTGAAACTGCAATACTTCAGATTTACATATTTCTGTGGTAGTCTTATTTTATTGTTTTTAGTGCTAAAACTATTATGTTGCAATTTGATTGTGCTAATTGTCACTTATATATGTTTACAGTAGATGTTAGTCAGCTTATTGACAGACATATGTTGTCAGAAATGAGCTTATTGTCGGACATGTGTTGTCAGAAATGAGCTTATTGTCAGACATGTGTTGTCAGAGATGAGCTTATTGTTTGACATGTGTTGTCAGAAATGAGCTTATTGTCAGACATGTGTTGTCAGAAATGAGCTTATTGTCAGACATGTGTTGTCAGAAATGAGCTTATTGTCAGACATGTGTTGTCAGAACTGAGCTTATTGTCAGACATGTGTTGTCAGAAATGAGCTTATTGTCAGACATGTGTTGTCAGAAATGAGCTTATTGTTTGACATGTGTTGTCAGAAATGAGCTTATTGTCAGACATGTGTTGTCAGAAATGAGCTTATTGTCAGACATGTGTTGTCAGAAATGAGCTTATTGTCAGACATGTGTTGTCAGAACTGAGCTTATTGTCAGACATGTGTTGTCAGAAATTAGCTTGTTGTCAGACATGTGTTGTCAGAAATGAGCTTATTGTTTGACATGTGTTGTCAGAAATGAGCTTATTGTCAGACATGTGTTGTCAGAAATGAGCTTATTGTCAGACATTTGTTGTCAGAAATGAGCTTATTGTCAGACATGTGTTGTCAGAAATGAGCTTATTGTTAGACATGTGTTTTCAGAAATGAGCTTATTGTCAGACATGTGTTGTCAGAAATTAGCTTGTTGTCAGACATGTGTTGTCAGAAATGAGCTTATTGTTTGACATGTGTTGTCAGAAATGAGCTTATTGTCAGACATGTGTTGTCAGAAATTAGCTTATTGTCAGACATGTGTTGTCAGAAATGAGCTTATTGTCAGACATGTGTTGTCAGAAATTAGCTTATTGTCAGACATGTGTTGTCAGAAATAAGCTTATTGTCTGACATGCATTTGTCATCACCAAAAGCTCTTTAAAAAAAACCTCTTGTAGGATCCTATGTGTTCAATAAGTATATTTTTAAAGACAATTATACAAATTGAACCAGTTAATTTGAGTTTACATATGGCCAAGTTAATTGATTTACCTGTAGGTGAGAAAATTGTGATAAAGAGCACGTCAAACTACCTTCTAATGGGACCCAATCCACTGCCTCGATTTACTGATGAGGATACAGTAAGGCGTACCAATGATGAGGTGATACCAGATATGTACCCAATCCTGCCAACAATCGACTTCAAATCAACCCACTTTTATGATTTAATCAACAATATTGGTGAGTCATTGGATATAAAAACACATTCCTTGTCTTCCTGAAGTCAAGTTACTGATAAACATTAACAACTAACACCATGTGAAAAATAAGGTAGAGGTAATTTTTTTGAAAATTATTTTTAATGCACATGTATATCACATTCCCTAAAATTTTGCTTTCTGTATTTGATGCCAGAGGAAATTGGAGGTCTAGTCAAACTCTCCATTTTCAAAAATTTGAAAATAGACATTCAATCAGGTTAACTATATCAGTTAAGGTTTTCGTCAGTGATACCTAAAATAGATGTGTTTGTTTACTACCTGGGATATAGGCCAATAAACTTTCGCTTCTCTGTTGGATTTGGTATCCACGCAAGTCCTCATGTCAATATACTTCTGGGGATATTCTGATCTTCAGTTCCAAATAAATTTCAATATTATACTGAGTCCTCACGTCAATATACTTATGGGGAGATCCTGATCTTCAAGTCCAAATTAATTCCAATATTATACTGAGTTCTCATGTCAATATACTTCTGGGGAGACCCTGATCTTCAAGTCCAAGTTAATTTCAATATTATTCTGAGTTCTCATGTCAAAATACTTCTGGGGAGATCCTGATCTTCAAGTCTAAATTGATTTCAATATTATACTTATTTCTCGTGTCAATTCCTTGGATGTATTGTCGATAAAATATTTGAATGAAATAGTAAAGTTCATTTTGATGATGCAGTCAGTTACCATGACAACTATAGCTGAAACAACAACAAAAAATTATGATGGGTTTTAAAATTTGATAGATTTTTGGGCCAATAAAGGCCAAAACCATGAATGGTACTTTTACAGGTGTAATAAGTAGTTTATCTACAGGCGTAGAATCTTTTTAATTCAGGTTTTAGAAGTAGCACAGAGTTTCATCCACACATATTCATAACATCCAACTGTGATTATTGGAATGATGACTCACGACAAGCTAGGTCCATGATGTATTGTTTGGCCCACACCATTGCTGAGGCCCGACTAAGGTTTGGGGTAAGTTATACTTATAACTACTGTTCTGTGGATGTGGTGAGCTAGCAGCTGAGACACGATTAAGGTTTGGGGTAAGTTATATATATAACTACTGTTCTGTGGATGTGATGAGCTAGCAGCTGAGACACGACTAAGGTTTGGGGTAAGTTATATATATAACTACTGTTCTGTGGATGTGATGAGCTAGCAGCTGAGACACGACTAAGGTTTGGGGTAAGTTATATATATAACTACTGTTCTGTGGATGTGGTGAGCTTGCAGCTGAGACACGACTAAGGTTTGGGGTAAGTTTTATTTATAACTACTGTTCTGTGGATGTGATGATCTAGCAGCTGAAACACGAATTAGACCTAAGAACTTTGATATGTCAAGACTTCAAATCATTGGTGGTGTGTTCTATTAAATTTTTTTTATTCATGACTAAAGCTGATGACACAATATTTCTACCTGAACAAACACAGCAAATACTAACACACAAATGTAAGTAAAAAGATGCAATTTTATCTAAAACATTTTTGTTTATGAAAAAATAAAAACATAACTTTAAATAGAAATCGAAGAGAAATTGATTGCTTACATTTGCATTTGTGCCATCATGTCACACGGTATATGTATTTTAACGGTTAATTTTAGATAAAAAATGTGTAGCATCAAAGTGGTCAAGTGTTGAAGTAACTATTTTAAGACTGATACATAAAAGTTATAGGCACTAATGAATTTAAAAGAGAGTAAAATTAATATCATAATGTATTCTGTTCAGAAATGACATCACTAACTATCTTAGGTGGTAGAAACTACAAGAGTGTTTATGGATGTTCTGACGACGGCTAGTCTGAATCAATCAGAGAATGCATGATTGACAGATAAATTACTGTGTTTCTCGTGCATATATTCTTAAAACTGAAAAGTGACACTTTGGGAACAAGTGAAATCATCAGACAAGTGATAGTATATCTTCAGATTATTTTCATAATTCTGTAACCAAGACCTGATTACAGTAACATGACATAAGTCTTTCACATTTTTTCAATTTAATCTTATATTCTTTATACTCTCAAATCTTTTCCATGAAATTTCTTCACTTTGTTTAGGGATGGATTTTGAGAATATTTTACAATTGTACAATTCTATCCATATTTTCTTCCCATAATCTTCATTTAATTTTCCATTGTTTGCACCAGGAGTAATACAGAATTATCTACACTGCTAATTTCCATGTGACGCCATTTTCCTATTTACGGTTACCAAAAGGAACGTCAAAATGTCATCCTGAAAATTACATGTTGCAAATAAATTATTTTTGCCCTGGTTATACACAATGGAAAAAAAATGGAGATAATATGAGATGAAGCAGGACACAATTCTCAGGGAGTGTACAAAATTTCATTAAATGTAGTCCATAAAAGAAGTCAGCAAAATTTATTGAAAAAGGTTAGAAATACAAAAACTATATAGTAAAATAACAAAGACTTGTGGCGTGTCATTGTATATGCCATTACGACATTGGCGACAGTGATCATCACACGACGTCCTATTATCTTAAGATTAAATGTCATAGCTTTTAAGTTAGCAATTATATTTTAATCAGTGTCCAGTCATTAATTAATCTCGTAACACAGAGCTAATGATTGCGGCTATCATAATCCCATTGTCAGGTAGCACTCTCCGTTGAAATGTGTGAAATTTTGTCATGGGGCGAAAATACCTGTACATTACATGTTAATATTTTGTTTGAATCATGAGGTGTCAATGACTGTGTTATCACAGCTTATGGTCTGTGAAAAAACTTTGATACATCGAAAAGTTTGATTTATAAAACTTTGATTCATAAAGGTGTAAGTTAGCAGTTAAAGTAAGGGATAGAATTTATGACCGTACAAAAACTTAAGATACAACGAGTATTTAGAATTATCAAAGTTCAATTTACTGTTAATGTATTTTTGTAAACAATTTCTATCAATGATATCAAAGTTCAGAAAATAGTGAAAATTGAACGCCTTGAAATATGATTTCATGATATGATGTTTCATTTTCTGTGGTTAGTGGAAACTGACATTATTTTTGTTTTCTGTCCAACAGAAAGATGTGCAGACTCTCCCAGAGCCAATCTGTGTACAGACTGCTAGTGTTGGTGAAACTGGTCTAAATTTTGTGTTTTTCCAACTAAATACTCTGGACTTTAGTTCACAAAGCGGAGTTAAAAATCAAGCATGGCTTGATACCGGAAACAATTTATATACAAAAATTCTGTCGCAGCCATGGAATGGCGAAGAGTTTCTAAACCATCAATACACTGATTTTACTGCGGAACCCTTCAGTAAATTGCTGGCAGTGATGCAGTATGGCTTAAATCCATCTTAATATGGAGATTGTGTGATATAATGTGATGTTTTAAATAAATAATACAGACATTTTTCTTTCTCTTGTCTTTGGAAGGGAATACATTACATACCTTTAGACATATTCAGTTTGCTTTAGGTCTGATGAATTAAACAAGAGGCCAATTGGTCCTGTATCAATCACATATTAATTAAATGCTTATCACTAACTGAACCTTGTATGAAAACTTAAACTTTTATTTTATTAAACAAGTTCCTGACAATGAGATATGTATGTGTTCTTTTGAGTTGGTCAAACTGATTTCAACCTACTTTATAGCTAGCTTGCTAGTCATTTGTTGATTTTGTCTTCATCTCAAAAACTCCATCTTTCACCAGATTTATCTCACCTAGTCATCAGTTCTGTATTCTTTCACCAGATTTATCTCGCCTAGTCATCAGTTCTGTATTCTTTCACCAGATTTATCTCGCCTAGTCATCAGTTCTGTATTCTTTCACCAGATTTATCTCGCCTAGTCATCAGTTCTGTATTCTTTCACCAGATTTATCTTGCCTAGTCATCAGTTCTGTATTCTTTCACCAGATTTATCTTACCAACAGTCGTCAGTTCTGTATTCTGACACTGGATTTCATCTGCCAACAGTCGTCAGTTCTGTATTCTTTCACCAGATTTATCTTACCAACAGTCGTCAGTTCTGTATTCTGACACTAGATTTATCTTACCAACTGTGGTCAGTTCTGTATTCTGACACTAGATTTCATCTGCCAACAGTCATCAGTTCTTATACTTTCACCAGATTTATCTTACCAACAGTCGTCAGTTCTGTATTCTGACACTAGATTTATCTTACCAACAGTCGTCAGTTCTGTATTCTGACACTAGATTTCATCTGCCAACAGTCATCAGTTCTGTATTCTGACACTTGATTTATCTTACCAACAGTCATCAGTTTTGTATTCTGACACTAGATTTATCTTACCAACAGTCATCAGTTCTGTATTCTGTCACCAGATTTATCTCGCCTAGTCATCAGTTCTGTATTCTGACACTAGATTTATCTTACCAACAGTCGTCAGTTCTGTATTCTGACACTAGATTTATCTTACCAACAGTCATCAGTTCTGTATTCTGACACTAGATTTATCTTACCAACAGTCATCAGTTCTGTATTCTGACACTAGATTTATCTTACCAACAGTCATCAGTTTTGTATTCTGACACTAGATTTATCTTACCAACAGTCATCAGTTCTGTATTCTGTCACAAGATTTCATCTGCCAACAGTCATCAGTTCTGTATTCACACTAGATTTATCTTACCAACAGTCATCAGTTCTGTATTCTGACACTAGATTTATCTTACCAACAGTCGTCAGTTCTGTATTCTGACACTAGATTTCATCTGCCAACAGTCATCAGTTCTGTATTCTGACACTTGATTTATCTTACCAACAGTCATCAGTTTTGTATTCTGACACTAGATTTATCTTACCAACAGTCATCAGTTCTGTATTCTGTCACCAGATTTATCTCGCCTAGTCATCAGTTCTGTATTCTGACACTAGATTTATCTTACCAACAGTCGTCAGTTCTGTATTCTGACACTAGATTTATCTTACCAACAGTCATCAGTTCTGTATTCTGACACTAGATTTATCTTACCAACAGTCATCAGTTCTGTATTCTGACACTAGATTTATCTTACCAACAGTCATCAGTTTTGTATTCTGACACTAGATTTATCTTACCAACAGTCATCAGTTCTGTATTCTGTCACAAGATTTCATCTGCCAACAGTCATCAGTTCTGTATTCACACTAGATTTATCTTACCAACAGTCATCAGTTCTGTATTCTGACACTAGATTTATCTTACCAACAGTCGTCAGTTCTGTATTCTGACACTAGATTTATCTTACCAACAGTCGTCAGTTCTGTATTCTGACACTAGATTTATCTTACCAACAGTCATCAGTTCTGTATTCTGACACTAGATTTATCTTACCAACAGTCATCAGTTCTGTATTCTGACACTAGATTTATCTTACCAACAGTCATCAGTTTTGTATTCTGACACTAGATTTATCTTACCAACAGTCATCAGTTCTGTATTCTGTCACAAGATTTCATCTGCCAACAGTCATCAGTTCTGTATTCACACTAGATTTATCTTACCAACAGTCATCAGTTTTGTATTCTGACACTAGATTTATCTTACCAACAGTCATCAGTTTTGTATTCTGTCACCAGATTTATCTCGCCTAGTCATCAGTTCTGTATTCTGACACTAGATTTATCTTACCAACAGTCGTCAGTTCTGTATTCTGACACTAGATTTATCTTACCAACAGTCATCAGTTCTGTATTCTGACACTAGATTTATCTTACCAACAGTCATCAGTTCTGTATTCTGACACTAGATTTATCTTACCAACAGTCATCAGTTCTGTATTCTGACACTAGATTTATCTTACCAACAGTCATCAGTTTTGTATTCTGACACTAGATTTATCTTACCAACAGTCATCAGTTCTGTATTCTGTCACAAGATTTCATCTGCCAACAGTCATCAGTTCTGTATTCACACTAGATTTATCTTACCAACAGTCATCAGTTTTGTATTCTGACACTAGATTTATCTTACCAACAGTCATCAGTTTTGTATTCTGTCACCAGATTTATCTCGCCTAGTCATCAGTTCTGTATTCTGACACTAGATTTATCTTACCAACAGTCGTCAGTTCTGTATTCTGACACTAGATTTATCTTACCAACAGTCATCAGTTCTGTATTCTGACACTAGATTTATCTTACCAACAGTCATCAGTTCTGTATTCTGACACTAGATTTATCTTACCAACAGTCATCAGTTTTGTATTCTGACACTAGATTTATCTTACCAACAGTCATCAGTTCTGTATTCTGTCACAAGATTTCATCTGCCAACAGTCATCAGTTCTGTATTCACACTAGATTTATCTTACCAACAGTCATCAGTTTTGTATTCTGACACTAGATTTATCTTACCAACAGTCATCAGTTCTGTATTCTGTCACAAGATTTCATCTGCCAACAGTCATCAGTTCTGTATTCACACTAGATTTATCTTACCAACAGTCGTCAGTTCTGTATTCTGACACTAGATTTATCTTACCAACAGTCATCAGTTCTGTATTCTGACACTAGATTTATCTTACCAACAGTCATCAGTTCTGTATTCTGACACTAGATTTATCTTACCAACAGTCATCAGTTTTGTATTCTGACACTAGATTTATCTTACCAACAGTCATCAGTTCTGTATTCTGTCACAAGATTTCATCTGCCAACAGTCATCAGTTCTGTATTCACACTAGATTTATCTTACCAACAGTCATCAGTTTTGTATTCTGACACTAGATTTATCTTACCAACAGTCATCAGTTTTGTATTCTGTCACCAGATTTATCTCGCCTAGTCATCAGTTCTGTATTCTGACACTAGATTTATCTTACCAACAGTCGTCAGTTCTGTATTCTGACACTAGATTTATCTTACCAACAGTCATCAGTTCTGTATTCTGACACTAGATTTATCTTACCAACAGTCATCAGTTCTGTATTCTGACACTAGATTTATCTTACCAACAGTCATCAGTTTTGTATTCTGACACTAGATTTATCTTACCAACAGTCATCAGTTCTGTATTCTGTCACAAGATTTCATCTGCCAACAGTCATCAGTTCTGTATTCACACTAGATTTATCTTACCAACAGTCATCAGTTCTGTATTCTGACACTAGATTTATCTTACCAACAGTCGTCAGTTCTGTATTCTGACACTAGATTTATCTTACCAACAGTCGTCAGTTCTGTATTCTGACACTAGATTTATCTTACCAACAGTCATCAGTTCTGTATTCTGACACTAGATTTATCTTACCAACAGTCATCAGTTCTGTATTCTGACACTAGATTTATCTTACCAACAGTCATCAGTTCTGTATTCTGTCACAAGATTTCATCTGCCAAGTCAATAGTTCTGTATTCTGACACTAGATTTATCTTACCAACAGTCATCAGTTCTGTATTCTGACACTAGATTTATCTTACCAACAGTCGTCAGTTCTGTATTCTGACACTAGATTTCATCTGCCAACAGTCGTCAGTGTTCAGTCAATGTGTCCTCTGTTTGACCTTTACTTGTTTGCCATTTCCATTCCCGGCCCATCTTTAGATTTGATATTACCAACACTTGTCAATGTTTTATCAATGTGTACTCTGTCTTCCACTTGATTTCCATCACAATTACTCCCTCAATCATTAGATTTTGCCTCACCAACAGTCGTCAATATCTTCTAGTTTTCCATGTCTATGACTCAGTCTAAAGTTCTCTCACCAATAGTTGTCATGGTTTTGTCAACTGTCCATAGAGACCACTTAAGGGAGCAGAGAAAAGTGGGCTTCATAGAGAGGTCCAATTGCTATGAAATTCATTACATAAGGACCCAAAAAAGTGTCCTTTACACACAGGTTCTTTAAGACAGATATGACAGTACAGCGTCTCCTATCTGTTTTCCATTTACATGACTTGGTCTTTTGCCAGGCTTTGTCTTGTCAATGTCTCCTACTTGTTTTCTCCATAAATCTTTCGCTAGGTTTGAATCTTGCCCATCCTGCTATACAAAATTCAGTGAAATAATGCATTTTTATCTCAATAATATAATTCTTCCTAAGGAGAGAGATAAACTTCTCAAATATTTTTCAGTAATTGTCTCGATACGATGATAAACCAAGCCATAAACATTTGTACTAATTTCTCAAAATCTGCATTTTGTGATACAAGAACTCTATTTGGAGGGTTCAGAAGCATTTAGTTCACTAAACAATCTAGAGACCAGATTTAGTTCAAGTTGGACGTAGATTTTCTGATCAAAGGATTTAAATGCCAAACTGTAGTTGGTGAAATTTTGACAACACCACTGGTAAAGTAACAGCACTCGAAAGTCTTGTTTCCAAGCGTTTCGTTGCAGGCAAGACAAAACGAACCTAGTTTTGTTGTAGGCAAGACAAAACCCAACCTAGTTTTGTTGAAGGCAAGACAAAACCAACCTAAGACCGAAACTTTGAGTTAATGACGAACACAAGACAGACACTGAGTGTACAAGTTTTATTAACAAAATCATACATGTGTTTTATACATATATAGGTACACATTTCTTGAATATCCCTGTAAAAACATGGTAAACGACTCGAAGCTATTTGGACAACATTGAAGACCTGACTAATCAAAAACTTAAATGCTGTTCAGGAAGTTTGTTTCACCGTCTTTTTGAATGATACACCTTTTACATAAAAAATAGATTTTAAAACTGATACATATCTCAGTGTATTTAAATTTGGTATTTACATATTTTTTTCAATATGCCTACTTAAGTACATTTCCAGGAAGTTCTTGGTGTAATAACAGATCTATCTGTTCTCTGTTCATTGGTTCAATGCAAGCACACACGTTTTCCATAAATATTTAATTCTTTTATACTGTTACATTCTATACATGTACCACTGAATAAGGATTTCAGGATTATATTTGAATCGTTTTTCTTTCATGAATGTGCTAATGCATCAAAATAATTTTTGACTGGTATAAAATCTGTTCCTGTTTCAACATCAATCCAGCAGGCAGCTGTCAAAATCAGACGGTGAAAAAATCTTACGAACGTGAAAGTTAAATCTTGTACACTCAACTAAAAATTTATTTTAAAAAGGTGGCACCACACTGCTACAATGCTCAGAGTTTTCTCCCCTCCCTGAAATTAATTTTCTTTCTCTATTACTTATTTCATGTTTAAAATAAATTGTTTAAATAAATAGAAATAATTTGTTCCATTTTTATTAAATTAAAATTAAATGAGCTAGAGTTGATCATTTTTAAAGATATTTTATTGTAACAAGAATTTTCTTGATATTTGGATTTCATTTCTAACCTTTTGATATTAGGGATGTCAGTTGAATTTAGTAATATTAGTTAATTTATAATGTTACTGGCACAAAATCAAGGGAGATAATCTAAAATGATATATTTTACAACTGATTTTTACATGAAACTGCAACAACCACCATGAACAACCACAAACAAAAACTTCTGATGTTGGTCGACGTTTTATGTTGATGAAAATCACGTTTGATGCCGAGTCAACAACTATGTATATATACAACCTAACTCCAATGCGGTATATATGTATATATTTTATAGGTTCACATGTATAAAATAAAATAAATTTGTGAAATATGGAAAATTATCTTGATAAATTTGTGTCACAAAAAATCTTTGGAAAAAAATGATAATGTTTTAAAATTCACACAACTCGCAAGATTTAAAAATGTATAGGTTACACCTATATATATATAACAAAGTCTTTGTCCTTATCCTATTTTTTGAAATAAACATTTCATTTCCTTTCAATAAATAAAGGAAACATCAATGTATACGCGAGTTGGTAAAGTTCCACCAGCCAAATGTATTTATTGCAACAAAGACCTGAAGCAGTATAGATACAATGTATAATATATATATGATAAATACAAGTGATATCAGAATTTACTCTAGTCACTCACAATGGGTTTTTTTTTGGTAAAATAAAGATGATGATAATATTTAATGTAAAGTGGTCACTTGAATACAAAATGTAACAATATAATACACTTGTTGAAAAAAGTCGGAGCAAGAGGAGAAAAAAACAGCAAAGTTTTAGTAAACTTTTCAAGCAAGGAAATTATGTACAGTGAGTTTTCATCTGTAAGTTGATAGGAACTTATTAACACAAAATTATGTACACTATCTAAACACGATTTAAATTCACACTTGGTCAAAAACAAGCTTTGTTCACTGAAAGAATTTGAACATAGGTGTTGTGACAGGACAACTTCTCCCTGTCACCCCTATATCAATATAATGGACTTATCCATGTAGGTGTGTTCCATCACGATGCAATAGAGCTCTTTGAGTAAATATGGAAAATCAGTCTCGCCAACAGTAGAGAATCCATATCACATCACACATGTTCAAATTCTGACTCGTGCCACTTTAAAAAATATCACAATTATCTCATTTCTCAGCCAGGTGAATTTCCTGACAAAAACATGTACACAAGTTTGGAATGATCATTTTTGTATTCTGAAAGATTTTGCATGAGAAATGGAAACTACACATATGTTGTAATTTCTGACTCGTCACCAAGTTGGGCCTCAATGGCCGCTACAAAGCTGTTGAGATACACAACCAATACTTAATAATGTATTGCCTGAAGCCGAGTGTATTATATATAAAAACAAACAAGACAAGTACATAACTATCAGATCTTAAGCTTATATACACAATTTCCAACTCCCGTATGTAAACTAGGGCTTATTCTTAAGCTTTTAAATCGCAGAATTGAAACATGATTTCTGTTCGAAAAAAAAAAACCAGCACAAAGGTAAGAAATCAATTGCTTTAGATGAAATCTAAATTGTACAACAACTTTTCAGTTCCAACATTATGGTAATCTGGAAGCTAGAGGCAGGAGAGTTGGATGCTTATACTTCAACACTGATGATTTCAATAGTGGTTTTAAACGCTCATCCGTTCTTTAGTTTTGTCCATGTTGGAATGCATAGGACTTTCTTCTATACGTTTTGGTTCTGATTCAGTTCAAAGTATTGGTATGTTGGGTTTTCGTAGCCGTTCATTTGCATGTTGGCAACATGCCGTTCTTCTGGTGATGCTGCTGGGTCAACCTCGACGAAACCGTGAGTGACTGGGCGGCGATGGGAGTGCTTACGCAGCATAATCACTGCGACAACAATAATGACAAACACAGCGACACTTCCGATGGCGATTCCAAAAATGCTTCCTGTTGCTGTCCCTACTTGCATGCCAGCAGCATTTCCGATGGCCTGAAAATAAGATTCATGACTCTGTATTATTCTATGGTAACAACTACAATTTGTAAAGGTCATCCTGTGTGTTTAGCAGGCTACAAGGTTTATACACTCGGACATATACAATTTAAAGACCTTTCAAGGACTTTCGGATATCAAAGCACTACCCTAGCCTCTCATACACCTGTGTATTCTTTTGCATCACAGCACTAGCCTATTTGAAAACTGGTTTCATAAATATGAGTTTGAAATGGAAATTCAACAAGAACTGCTATGTACATTAAGTCCACTGTTAGGTGGTGCTCCAACTCAACCAAACTGTATAGTAACAAATTTTTTTTTATACCTGTTCGAAACTTTGTTTATCATGCATATGGTGAGCTACAAAGTTGGTGTCGTGCTCGTTTTCTATCGTTTCTTCATCAAAAGTGTTGATTCCATCATCTTCCCGTATCATGTCATCTAATATGTCATTGTCGATGGTGTTGGATGGAAGCGGGACGACCTCTGCGACCTTGTGGATAGGGATGATAGTGTCCTCATGTCCAAGGTTTGCATTGTTGTCAGCAGCTACAAATAACATACAGAAATCAATAGAGATATTAGATCTGAAATCTAGACCCATTCATACATGTGCGAAGGAACCACAAGATATTTACAAAAATCATCTAAATCACTTTTAACATTTTTCTTTAAGTAAACAAGTATATAAGTTTAAGTATACAGGGAAACTTCTGCCCTCAAATTATAGAATTTTAAAATCAGTTTTTACGTGGTAAATCCTCCTCGCTCTCTGATGAATCCTCCTCCTCTTCCTCGGAGTCGACCTCTGGGGTGAAGGGTCGTGACACAACCTTCCTAGCAGACTCTGCCAGTCCCTGGTATTCACGAAGGAAGTTATCTACAAAAGTGACAAAGTGAAATATAGAAATATATCAGAGATGTTTTATCAGAGATATTCAAACCAGTTTATGTTTTGATAACAAGTTTGGCATTTAACCTACATCTGAAATATTTGTGGGACATAATATTGAAAAAGCCTTCATTCAGTGATCATGCATTCATGAAAGTTGCAAATTTGTGAAAAAATCAAAACATTATAGGGACTTATGTTGTCTTTCAGCAGTAACACTTAAAATGATGTTTGTGAAACATTTGCCCCAACCCCACTGTTAAGTCTAAATCATGTCACACATTAGTGAATAAAAGAATTCAATTTGACTTGACAGCACTGATGTTTGTCTACTATAGAAACGATCCAATTGAAATCTACCAATTTACTCATTGATTCACAAAGTTAACTGATTTTTGCATTACAGATATACGTAGATTTTATTAAAATAAAAGTGGTTCGCTCCAAATCTTGGATTTTTGTAATTTTTAAAATGTTTACCAATCATTGGCTTGACTTTCTGTTTGATCTGTTGGAAGTGGTCGAGCATGTCAAGGGCCTGACTGATACGCTGGTCAAGGACATCAAGATGGTCGAGTGAGGATTTTTGGATACGCTTGGCTTCCTCCATATCAGTGTTACGAACGTGTACGAAATGATTGAGGGTGTGGGTACGATCTTTCTCCTCTACCTTGATGTATTCCTTTAGGAACTTGAACACTCTCTGGAACTGTAAAAACGGTACATATTATGTAAACACTATTACAGCTGTATACATATTACAGAACTAAAAATGATATCAGGAAAATTTCATAAGTTTAATATTTGCAAGACATGAATGCCCTTGCAACCATGCACATGTCATATTTTTTGCAATTCTTTCAACAACGGGCCCTAAATTAAAAAAAACAAGAGGCCCAAGGCCTTAACGGTCATCTGAGTCACAATTGTTCTTGTAACATGCCATAGAAACGATTTTGTTAAAAAAGGTGATATAACTTTAACTATATTGTAAACATAATGCAAATATAAATTGTGTATACATTAACTGCTGCCCCATGTTAAGGCTTCTAACCAAGTTTGAGTTAAGAAGAAAGTTCACTCAAGATTTGAATTATTCTATATAAAATCTTCCATTCAAGAACAGTAGAACATCATTTCAGTCAATTTGACCCTAGAAATCTCAGTCAACTGACTCGGGTTACTTATAGCTTTGCCACACCAGTGATTTAAGAAGTCTTGACCAACAGCTTTGTGTTATACGTACATCAACGTGTGGCCTCTGTAATTCAGTCATGTATTTTTCCAGGTTGATTCTCTTCTTTCTGTTCAGTTCGCCTTGTCTTCTCTGGAGGTGGAGAGCCACCAGCTGCCTCTTCTCTGCAGCATCAGCCTGTTCGTAGCCAGTGTACAACAACTGGAATCTCTGTAACACAAACATATTAGACATATTAGCTGTACAGGTCATTGCGATCTTGTAAAGATTTCAAGTGAAGTTTGTTTGGTAAATTTTTCATTCGACAGTCAGTTATTTCAAGGTAGGGTCTCTTGTAGTGCCTGGTACAAGTATCCCTGGTTACATGGATGTGTTGTTCTGAATATGTGGCTGTACTGTTCTGATTAAGTGGATGTGTTGCCTGGTAATGTGGAAGTGTCCCTGGTTACGTGGATGTGTTGCCTGGTAATGTGGATGTGTTGTTCTGGTTATGTGGATGTGTTGTTCTGATAATGTGGATGTGTTGTTCTGATAATGTGGATGTGTTGTTCTGATAATGTGGATGTGTTGTTCTGGTTATGTGGAAGTGTCCCTAGTTACAGGGATGAGTTTCCTGTTAAAGTGGTGTGTTTCCTGGTTGCATGGATGTGTTGTTCTGATAATGTGGATGTGTTCCTAGTAACATGGATGTGTTTCCTGGTTGCATGGATGTGTTGTTCTGATAATGTGGATGTATTGTTCTGATGATGTTGTTGTATTGTGCTGGTTATGTGGATGCATTGCCTGGTTATAATGACAGTGTTTTGTTTCCTGTTTACAAAGAAAAGTGATGAGGTTGAAATATGAGGTTCGGTATCTACTGATGGTAACAAATGTTTTATTCTAATTCTACTTCAGTAATGTGATTTAGGTGAGTAAATTTATACCAAAACAGCAAAGGTGTCCTTTCTGTATTACAAAATTACAATAATGTTTTTGTGAAATGATTAATTTTCATTGATTGGCCTCGGTATTTTAAATCTATGAATGTCCACAAACTGAAATAAGGATATCTATTGCACTATATTTATCAATGAAATCAAATATCTACTGAATAGTGGTTTTTTTTGTTTGTTTTTTGTTAAAAAAACCAAGAAAATATATGATTGTACACTGATTGTACACTGATTGACATCAGCATTAAGAGCCTCAGCCACAAGTTACTAGGATACAGGATGGGGTTGCTAGGGTTACAGGTATATTTCCATGGTTACATACCTTCATGACATCAGCATTAAGAGCTTCAGCTCCCTTGACATCTGTTTTTTTCATCTCGGCAATCTGTTCTCTTGCTTCTTCCCATTCCTTCATCATCTAGAAATACATGGCACAGGTGACCACTGACCTATAGACATGTCACTTTAAATTGAAAATTGTTCCTTTTCTTCAAATTATAATTTTCCTGCAGAATTGATGTTGTGTTTCCTCTATATAACCAGGGACATATTATATACGTCCCTGATATAACAAAGGAAAATAACACCTAATTCATGAGATGTATTGTACCGTGGCTTTTTATTTAAAAATTGTAAAGTGTGACATCAAAATCAATCAAAGATGTAAATATGAATCGTTTTGGGAAGCACTTTTGCAATCTCACTAATAAGAAATACATTTCTGAGACTTTAAATCGAAAGTAAGTTAGAGAAATCAGGATCTAGTGTCATCATATCTAATGACTTCACCAGATTTCAAATGAGGTTACATGTTGCCGAATTTTATCAAATTACCTTTTCTACAAAAACCTCATGTAATTTATACCTCACTTAGGTCAAGAAAAACAAAGAAAATTAATGATAATTGAATCAAAATCCAAGCACAATTAAATAAAATTAGGGCAAAATATGGACAAAAGAAAGATTTATTTGGAGACTCTTAAAAAGTACAAGAAGAATAAGACCAGGTGTTTGTAAGGGGATAGCCTCTTCTGCTTCAGCATTAGCTGTAATAGCTAGTCAACACAAAGGCAATATTACAGCAATGTTTTGGTGCCACCTGGTGGAAATACATTTCAACAGAAAATTGTACAATCCAAATAAGGATATGGCAGTGATAAAGTGAACTGTACTCAAGAATTCAACAATTAATATGGCACCGCATACCAGCACAACTGAGATTCCAAATTATCAGGGATTTCTCGAAGTCAATGACACCTGGACATTTTTGCTGCTGCATGGTTTTAATTTAGTTTGTGTTGAATACAGTAATTTAAAACATCCCCTCATCAGCGTTTGTGCTCATTACGACAATAACAGACATTAAAGCACCTCAGGGACGCCTATGATTCATTCTTAACATCAAAATCAGCTCATTTGCATATTCTGAGATCCAATGCACACAATTTGAGTTATTTCAAATCCTACAGTACAATGATGTCATCATCATTCATTGTTTGACTTTATTATTAAATATGACAGGACTGGCAGTTTTTGTACAGGATGTGGTGAAACAGATTTTTAAAAATCTGAGATATATATTGTATTGTAGAGATTGTTGTTTATGGGACTTTGTTTTTTGCCATAAAGAATAAATTTTACTGGACTAATCTGGTTGGTAATAATCACAAGAATTTCAAATTTGTCAAAACTCTTGTGCTTGCCAGGTTAATTATCTACGCCCTTGGATTGAACCACTTACTTTTTCACTCTGCATTGAAAAGCATAGTTTTCATCCATGAACTGAGATTCATGAGTTTTACCTTAAAATGAATGAGATGCATAATTTTCACCCTAGGATGAATGAGGTCCAAAGTTTTCACCTTTGGACTGAGATGAATAATTTTCATCCTAGTATGAATGAGGTCCAAAGTTCACCCTTGGACTGAGATTCATAAATTTCACCTTAGGATGAATGAAATCCATAATTTTCACCCAAGGATGAATGAAATCCATAATTTTCACCCTAGAATGAATGAGATCCATAATTTCTACCCTTGCTTCAGTTCATTTTTTTTTTATTATTTCTTTATGTCCTTGCAACAACCAGGGTCATTTAAAGAATGTGCCAGGTTTGGGTGGTGGAAGAAAGTACCAACATGTCGCCAGAACCGGGCCACTGCCCCACATAGGTCCTGAACCTGCACCCCAGAGGTGAAGGGCAAAGATAAAGACAGACAGACAGACAGACACTTTAATCACTCGACCCCATAGCTCATTTTAACCTTAGAATAAGAATCTCCATTAAAATAAAAAAAGGATTCTATCAATCTTGCACCAATAAAAGTGGACAACTATAATGCGCAAGAGAAAACATTTTCGGATTAATATCCATCTTGTTCATACAGCATCACAGTACCTTGTTGATGCGGTCCTGGTGTCGTTTGTTCAGTGCCATTTCTGAAGACTTGAACCTTTCGTGTTCATTTCTGTATCGAGACAGGTATTCCTCATCGTTACGGAGGTATGCCTGGTAGGCATCATCAACATTGGCATCCTTGTCAATCACCACGGTCTTGGTTTTGTCCTCCTTGGGCAAGCTAATGACTCTGGGATGGTCGACTGGCTTTCCTGTAAATACATAAATATAGGACATGTCAATATCTGTGACACCTAAAGTTACAATAATATTTTTCATACAGCTCTGAGTTTTTGCATTTTATTTTTAAATCAAATTTACTAGGTAAAAAAAAAACAAAAAAAAAGGGGGGGGGGCATTTATTATTGGTTTATTTGGTTTATCAGGCAATTTTCCTATCCGTTAAGCTCCCTTAAATGTGATAATAATATATAATAACATTGCAATAACAGGTCAGTGAGTAGACTGCGCATGTAACCTTAAGTGAAGATCAGGTATGTTGTGTGTGGTTTGTGATTTGTGTGGTTTGTATTGATCTCTGCTGTGGTTGTGTCTGTGGTAAGGCACTTTACCTAATTTACTACGGATGACATGCGATGGACCTCCCTTATGTTGTTCAGTGAAGTAACCATCAACTACTACAAGGATACCCGTCTCAAAATGACTGGCTATATAGAGGGTGATAAACCCAGCAAACAAGCAAATGTCATGTAATAAGCCCATCCTTTGACATTGAGCCAGGGAAAATATTTCGCTCCCCTGGGCTTGATATTGTAAGATCGATAATATCCTCCAAATCCATTCCCAAGTTTAAACCTCATTTATTACATCCTGCCTTGTTTTGATGCAAGTATTGCTGATAAATGGTTGCTGGATAACAGAAACAGAATATGTGTAGCTAGGAATCATGAGACACAAGCTTTACTTCTTAGTCAGAACGGGAAAGCAGGATTTCTTGGCACTTGTTAAAACAAACAATGTATTCTTGAAGCATACATACTTAAGGTAGAAGAATTCTGTAGTGTGTTTTTTATTTGATACAGGGATATTTCAAACTAGAATTAACGGCAAACAATACAAATAAAAAAACAGTTTCATAGGAATATCGTCAGGCACTGCATTGTGCTAAGGAAGATGTACCCAAGGGTACTATAGAGACAAGAATCTGGCAAGGCACCATGTGAAAGTGAATTTCCTATGATTTCAGTTCTTTCCATGTCTTTCAACTCTCTCTGTCTCTAATGTCTTGTTATCTCTTTGTCTGTCTGTCTTTCCTTTCTGCCTTTTTTTTGTCTATCTATCTCTGTTTTTGTCTGTTCCTTTTTTGTCAAACTTTCTCCGTCTGTTTCTCTATCTTTTCTGTCTCACTGTCTCTCAATTCTCCTTGTTTGGCAATTTTATCATATTTACTGTAACCATTTTATTAATCTTTCATTTGTTTTATAATAATGCCATAATATATTGGGATCAGGGACATGTGTGCTGTATATATAAGGCAATAGGTCAGAATGGAGACATTTAGTCTGCAATAAATCCCTGCCAGATAATTTACCCTGCCACTTCTGCAACTTTCTTTCCAAAACCTGGATTAAGTCCACCCTGTGACTTGCAGTCCAGAACTAATAAGTTTGCAGAGAGAAATATGTTACAGTAGAATTGAAGAATTATGAGAAAGTCATATCGCAAACAACAATAAATGTAAAGAAAGGATTGAAAATAATGACAATCCAACTATTCTCCTTTATGTCCCTCGTAAACCAAACTCGCGGTGACTTCTTCCATAGTAAAGTCATTTCTTTAAATTAAAGGTAATATGTTGGTCCCCTTGGCATATTGCAGTATACTGCACGCATGTAGTGAGTTAATGCATTTTTGGCATCATCAACACTGGAAACCCACAGATAATGTTAAATTGCCTAGAACACATTGTGTGTGTAAATTAGGCCTGATATTTAGAGTGACATTTCCTGAAAGCTAATTATCATGTCAGGGCCACCTCTCCTGGCTTGGTCAACTTTAGAAGATGTTTCAATTTTACTGAAAATCTAAATAAAACCCTTATCTGAGTAAAGACCAATGAAATACTGGTAACGATTCTTCTAAAGTGTACCAGAAAGGGGATTGATAAAAAAAATTTGAATACAAGGCTGCTGTAGAATCGATTCTGCTCGAGTTTCTGTTGAGGTAGTGTTACCAATGGTGTTCAGCCATGGTAATATAATAGCATTGCTGGTGTATTGGTGCGGAGATGTGTACATGAGAGAGAAAGACGAGATGTAACAGAATTATCCAAAAATAATGGAAAACTACAAAGGTTTTCCGAACATCCAGCACAGACAATTCATATACCACAAACTGTACTGTCTTTATGACTACATATTTCAAATCAATACTTCCTCACTCAAACGGCTCTATATGTACTGTATATATAGTTGTTTAATTTCCTAGAACTAATAATTCGCTTTTCTCTAAATTAGGAATTGATCATGGGGGTTAAATTACAGATAATGTTAAATTGCCTAGAACACATTGTGTGTGTAAATTAGGCCTGATATTTAGAGTGACATTTCCTGAAAGCTAATTATCATGTCAGGGCCACCTCTCCTGGCTTGGTCAACTTTAGAAGATGTTTCAATTTTACTGAAAATCTAAATAAAACCCTTATCTGAGTAAAGACCAATGAAATACTGGTAACGATTCTTCTAAAGTGTACCAGAAAGGGGATTGATAAAAAAAATTTGAATACAAGGCTGCTGTAGAATCGATTCTGCTCGAGTTTCTGTTGAGGTAGTGTTACCAATGGTGTTCAGCCATGGTAATATAATAGCATTGCTGGTGTATTGGTGCGGAGATGTGTACATGAGAGAGAAAGACGAGATGTAACAGAATTATCCAAAAATAATGGAAAACTACAAAGGTTTTCCGAACATCCAGCACAGACAATTCATATACCACAAACTGTACTGTCTTTATGACTACATATTTCAAATCAATACTTCCTCACTCAAGTGGCTCTATATGTACTGTATATATAGTTGTTTAATTTCCTAGAACTAAAAATTCGCTTTTCTCTAAATTAGGAATTGATCATGGGTGTTAAATTACACTCGTTCAGCAGCCACATATAATAAAATACACTTTCTGAGGTTCTCAGCTTCGCTTAAAAAATCTTGGTGCATTTCTGATTCTGCACTATCTGTAATCCACATCGAAAAAAAAAAAAAAAGAAAGAAATCCCCCATGAATACAAACTATAGAGTTACTATTTCCTGATGTAACATTATTGATGAAGATTTGGAAAAAATATGTTTTGGTCTCGTATGAAAATTGATTAAATTCCAATAAAAAGCAAAGTATAATGTTGACTTGGGATGGTTTTAAATATCTTTCAGTTAAAGTTTTTTTTTTCTAAACCAAAGAATTATATATCCTTCACATTGCATAACAGAAAACACTTCGGCTAGTGCCTGAATATATTTCAAATAAACAGCTTTTACATCTACCAACATAAACATACTCAGTGTTCCCTTGAGAATGAGGTAGGCTCCCTGCCAGTTATGGTCTTGTGAGTACATGGTAACATTTACTACTTCTGTTGTTACATAAGATCAATATGTTTTACTCATAGCAGACAAGCACCTGGGAGACCAGAATAATTGAAACTGATCTATATCTTTTTGAAGTTCTACAAGGTTTACTTATCAAAGTCTAGTACAGGACAAAAACACAAGTATATATATACACAACAAGTCTCCACTAACCAATGAGATAATGCAATTTCTGTTTTCAGTGACATGATATTGAAAACATTTCCTGGCATTAAGCCTGATCACCAAATCCTAAACCATTGTCTTGCAGTTTGGTAAAGCTCATAGATCCTGTTCCTTCCTTCTGTAGTCACAAAGAATCACATTGCAAAACGCATATATATGTATAACAGGAGTGGAAAAATACACTGCCAGACTGGGGTTTGAAGCGGGGACCTTCCAAACTCTAGACGAATGGTCTACCTTCTGAGCTAACAGGTCCCCGATGATTGACCCTGTCTAGTTCCACTACATTCCTCCCTCCTTATTTTTAGTCTTTGCCCCCAAAGACATCACATCTAACAATCAAGGTTTGGGTATCTCCTTGTTAAGCATTCACATACTGCTTGAAACAAGGTTTGATCATGGCATCAAATGTAACCGGCGTAGAAAAATGCACGACCAGACTGGGGTTCGAACCCAGGACCTTTCAAACTCTAGACAGATGCTCTACCTACTAAGCTAACTGGTGGCCGATGGACAACCCTGTCCAGTTCTGCTGCATGTGTAACTCAAGTGACACGTTGTTTGTTTTCATATATTTTTTATTTAAAGTAATTTTTGTTATGAATCCACACAACAATATTACTGATGTTTCTATTGATGAATGAGCCTGTAGTTTGATTTGTAGAGAACTGCTTATCATAAATGCTGTTTCCAGATTCTTAAAGCAACTCATCACATATGTGACACTATCAAGTAGATCACTCTGTTGTTAAACCGGAAATGGTTATATGAACAGGAAGCAGTATTTTATTGTATATAATGTTGGTTGGAAATTTAAAATATGAAAATAATAATTTTCATGAATTTATTGTTGTTTAATTTAGCTTATAACAGGAATTGAGTGTTAAATATGTACATAGTATATTGCACCAAATATGACCTTTACCTGTCCAGCACTGCATAGCCAAGTAGGGACTTATGTAAACAATGGTAGCCAGAATTCATATAAACAAATGTGATGTGTATATATAAACAGTGCAGTACAGTTAGAGTAACGATGATTGTATAATTATAACGTAAAATATTTCAAGGTCATGAGAAAATAATAGTTTAGATAGTGAATTGTATATAGTTGCTTAGTACAGCATTATGAGTATGTAAGATAAACATGACCGATTTAGCAGATGTTAGGTTCTGCGTAATTGTTAAGTATTTGATTATTATATATGTAAATAGTGACCAATATGCAGTGGGTCTGAAGACTGGTAGTACCAATTGTCATTCCAGACAATAGCTTCCTGGGATTGGGGAATGGACCAATCAACGGTCGTTGCACTAAATGTGCATCCCCAATCCATCAACACTTATCCCATACACAATAACAAATAGCCCAAGATTCTGCATTTTGTGTCCAAATCGGTATCATTTTGACAGAATCTTGATATGGTTGGGTCGCCAGG